TTCAGTTCGCAATCTAGAAATAAATGGGTCAGATGATACTTAAATCCTATGGAACACAACTTCATTAGTAGAAAATACATGGATATTGTCCAAAATTTCAAACGAGACTGAAGAGATTGAGCTATTGCTCCATATCCATATCCATTTCAGTAAACAAGAAAGTATTAATCCTTGTAAACAAATAATAAAACTCTCAATCGCCACTCATCACTTTATCAAATCCTTTGGGAATTAAGCTATAACTTTGAATACTTTCCATGTGTCTTAATTATCCTATCATTAACTTCATTTACCTAAAAAAATGTCAATTCAATCTGCAAACGCTAATTCTTAATATATGAATATGATAAGTGTTCCATATAGCATAATTTACGTTTGAACTTTTAGGCGAAAATTTTCATATAAGTGACAATAAAAGGCAGATGAACTTATAGCAACATATTCTCTGGTGCATCCCGGTCCTAGATCAATTGCTGCCATTTTAAGACGTGATAAGCCTTTTTCTACAATCTAGCTTCAAATTAGTTTTCTATGAGACAGGTTTTCGCTTATTTGATGGTTTTTATAAGGCGGCCACTGTTATAAAGTGGTACGTATACGTATGCCCTTAAACGATGTAAAACACCCATCAATCACATGTGCTGTAACAAGCTCAAAATAATATTACAAAAATGTGGTGTAATCTTACAACAAAAATTGTAATTTCAGCTTGAAAAAAAATGTCGTATGGAACAAGGGAATCGGGTTTTATTACTTGACTATTGAAGGATAAAACGCAATAAAATTTAACGCCAGAAGTGGACATTGGATTTTGGATTGTTTTCTTCGTTTGCCCGTGTGCGTAGTCCAGCCAAATAGAAAGTAGTGTTTTGGACCCACTCCAACGCTTTTTATTTTAAATTACCTATATTATTTTTTCCCTCTTCTTTCGGTTATACGGGGTTTTCTCGTGCCAGAGGTGAGAGTAATGCCGGAGTTATAAGTCCCCTTCCCTCCCTCCCATCGTCACCAGGAATTCAACTCGTAATCTTTGGTTTATCAGGTAGCCGGGTGGCGTATTTACAAACCTTATTCGGATTCAGATATTGTACTCGTCTAGAGTTTGTAGCGACCTTGGGGGCTCTTAATTACAAACTCTATACCGGTTCAGACACCTCAGCTTTGCCGGACAACTGGAGAACTTGAGTCGTTTAAAATGAATATTATATATTATTAATTATATTATTGTTAATTACTGTTTTGTATATATATATATATATATATATATATATATATATATATATATATATATATATATATATATAAACAATATTATTGATTTTGTTTTATTTTTTTTTTTTTTTGACAAAAAATACTGTCAGAAGGCTAGAGAAATGATTATAATAAAATGAACAATAAATTGTAAAAATAAACTAGAAAATAATAATAAGGATATTTTATTAAAATAATGTAGATATTGATTGAGACTAATTGAATAATGTTCTTTTGGAAAAAAAATTAATAATCAATAACAATAATAAATTAATAAGGTATAGATTATAATAAAAAAAATCATAAATTATAAAAACCAATAAGAAAATAATAATAAGGACTTTTCATTAAAATAATGTAGATAACATAAAGACACTAATTGAATAATGTTCTGTTTAGAAAAAATAAATTAAGAATAAAGATTGTCTTATAGTATTATGTATATATAATAAAACAAATACTATCAATTTTGTTTTAAATATTTTTAATTCAATACCGTCAAAAGTCAAAAGGAATAAGTGCTAATAAATAATAATAAAATAATCAGAACTAAAATTAAAATAAAATAAGTAAAAAATAGTATAAATTAATAAGAAATTAATATAATTAATATATTCGATACAGGGTGTTTCGTAATTGCAGGGCACTATTTTAGGTCTGTGTTCATTAACACAAAAAAGTTCATATTAACATATATCTCAAACTCATTGATTAAACAGATATCAAAGGTTAAAGATTTATTATTTATTTACTACATTAAGACCAGTTGTACAAATTTTAACGTGTTTAATACTAAATAACTAGTTTTCCTCACCTGATAAACAAACGAACGATAAGCAATGACAGTAGTTGCTCATCTGTTTGTCCAGTTCTGTGTGTTTTAGTGTGAGTGAATATTGTGACACAGTTCAATTTATGATTATCAAGGGAGACACCATAAATTTATACACTTTTGCAGAACCAACAAACATGCTTTTAACTCATGGCGAGGTACATAGAAATGGTGGTGCTGCTGTTCGAAGATATCGTGAAAAATCTCCTAACTGAAGAATACCAAATCGTAAAACGTTTTGAGGCTATTGAAAGACGCCTCAGGGATAATGGCACACTAAAACCTATACGAAAATTTAATAGTTGACCGTTGCATTATAAAGGAAGGAGATGGTCCTGGGTTGCGCTCATAAAAAGGCTAAATAGTGGTAAAACTATTTTATTGAAAGCCAACGTTTCGACCCGACTTTGCAGGTCTTCATGAGGGCTGGAGGTGGGAGAGATTTTGACTGTTATTTACCCACACATCTATAATATTATTCTACTTTTTTTTTCAAGTGAAGAGTTGACATTCATTAATTTTCATATCTGTGAACAGTAAGTATTGCACAAACTTAAAACTGAAAAAAACCTATACGAGTAAACGCCAGTCGACAAAGATTTCGACGAACTGCAAATGTTGAAGAAGAAATACTCGATGCTGTTCAGTTATCTCGTACTAGTAGAACCAGAAGATTGTCACATCGTTTCGATGTTTCCTCTATCAGCGTATGGCGAACTTCACGCGAACAACAATTGTATCCATTTCACGTATCGAGTAGGCAAGATTTATTACCACAAGAATATAACAAGCGCAGTGGTTATCAGTAGTTAACGAGATTCTAACTTCCTGAACTGCATTTTGGTTACTGATGAATCTTCCTTTACAAGAAACGGGATTCTTAATTTTCGAAATACGCATACTTGGGCTGAAGAAAACCCTCATACGACTGCTGTTGGACATTACCAATATACCTTTTCATTAAATGTCTGGTGTGGTCTTCTAAGCGACATCATCGGCCTCTTCTTTTTGCCACCTAGGCTGTCAGGTTTATTTTACTTACATTTTTTGCAAAATAATCTTCATGAACTCCTAGAAGATATTCCTCTAGACATTAGGCAAAGGCTGTGGTTTATGCATAGCGGTGCTCCAGCTCACTTTTCGAATAGTATCACTGATTATTTAAATGCAACTTATGGAGACCGATGGGTTGGTGGTAACGGACCTGTTAAATAGCCACCACGATCTCCGGATTTAAAGCGACTAGATTATTTTGTGTGGGGCTGGATGAAGTATGAAGTATATTCTGCGGCAGTTGACACGCAAGATGAGCTAAGAAATCGGATCGTGGAAGCCGCAGTAACTATCAAGCACCATCCTGATGCTATACCAAGAGCCAGAGAAGCATGGATTCGTCGTCCTGAATGTTGCATTCAACAAAACGGATGCCCCTTTGAACAGTTACCCTAAATGTTGTAATAATAATAAATTTTTAACCTTTGATATCTGTTCAATAAATGTATTTGAGATGTAATTTAATACGAACTTTTTTGTTTATTTTGTGTAAGTGAACACATACCTAAAATAGTGCCGTGCAATTACAAAACACCCTGTATAATATTAATTTTAAACGACAGAAGATCTCCAGCGGGCAGGCTGCGCTGAGATGCCTAAATCCGTATAGGGTTTGTAATGGGCCAGCCTTCAGAGCCAATACAAACCCTAAACGAGTACAGACGAGTTTCTGAATCAGTATAGGGTTTGTAAATACGCAGCCGAGTGGACGAACGCGTGTGCCAAACACGCGTTGTCCTGCAATCTGATAAACAGGATAACATGGTAAAAATAACTACGAGTTCGCGTCCAGGTGCTATGATCTTAACTCTGGCATTAATCTCCAGCCCTTTCCGCCGGACCAGAAAAACCCTGTATAGCCTGAAAGGCGAGAATGGAAATGACAAAAATAAGTAGATAAAGCTATCAACTGACATCCCTCTCCTCTTGATTCAGGCTTGATTGAAATCTACTAAGAATGTGCATGATAGAAACATTCAAAAAGGTAGAATCAGTAATTATTATTCCGAAAATTTTGTGATTTGTTCTGGTTTTAAACAAGGTGAATCCCTTTCACTTGTCCTATTTAATTTGACATTAGAAGATATAATTAGAGAAGTCGAAGAATATCCTTTGCTGCAATACCTAGCCTATTAACTATTAAAAATGATAGTATAAGTTACTAATACTATTGATTGACAATATGTAATATAGATTTATAATATAACCTTGTAAAGCTAAATAATTTTGAAAAAAATATCGAGCATCTCCATTGGTAGAAGAAAATAAGAGAGAAAAGAAAATTTAATGACTTAATTGTTGAATTTAATAGTGTCTAATTTTATTATTATTGAATGGGGAATAAGCTTTTCTAATGAAAAACATTAAAATCTATTTTCAGCTTCATCAACTAAAAATATATAGTGTACAGAATCGTGTCACTTTATATTAATTTTCATTAAGTTTATTTTTATAATTAATATATTATTCTTAAAGTTTATGAACTTAAAAAAAATTCTAGTGATAGTAGTGTGGGAAGTGAAAGTTGTGTTATGCACCACTCCAGATTTTCTATTTTGCGGATCATTCCGCCGAACATGGCTGTCGGCTTTATACAATCATTAAAGTGTAGCGAAGAAAATGAAAATATAATTTTGATTGAACATAGATAAATTGTCATAAAAATTTACTTATCCAATATATCTCTGCTTTCCATATCATTTGGCTCCATTGAACATACTCTCTCTGGACTAGTTTATTCTTCTAAATATTTCTCAAAATTACATGTCTGGCTGGTTAAAAGTGTATTGAAATCTGTCCTAGGACATTGAAGCACTTAAAAAAGCTAATAATGTGGGAGAAAAAAACAACATAATTTACATTTTTTTTTCTTTATTTTATCTTTAATACTGTGTTTTGTTGTTGTTTTGATTAATAGGCATAGTCGTTGAATCTTGTTACCTGAATACTTCATAGGAATCACTGAAACTCTACGAATATGAAACATTTTCAAATTTATTCGTGTGGTTCAAGAAAACTCTAACAGACAAATTAGATCAATTAAAATTGTAATATTTATTGTTAATACTATTTTATACATCACACACCGGTAAGGTAAGTTCTTGAACATTTAACTCTACAATAAAAAAATATGGTATTTGTCATAAATAGAAAAATTCAGCTAAAAATACATAAATAGCATATGTTAGTCATTTGAAAAATAAGTTGATATGTTGATACTTTATACAACCATATAATTTTGGGGTTTTATTCACACAAAAGAGTAGAAGCAGTTTTAACATAAAAATATCACTAGTGTCGGAAGAGCATGTTATTCCATTTTTACTAACATCATTCCATAAATACAATCTTATTTTTAAATGTTATAATTTCCTTCTCAAAAAATTGTGTTAGCCGCAATCAAAAGAAGGCACTCATACTCAGACAAAGACTACCATTTAGTCTACAACAATCGTATTCTTATTTTTAATCCACTGTATTATTCCATATATATTTTTTTATGAACAACTATAAAAAAAATCAACATTGCAGTAAACATTGGATCCTGTTACATATCATAGGTATCTAAAAACTGCAAATAACAAAACTTTCTTTGGTAACTGTTGAATATAAACCTTTGCTAATGTTTTATTTTAATATTAACAACATAATTAGCTTAATAATTAAAGAAAAAATAATTGAAGTATTTACATGTATGCAAGCCATGAAAATGTGTTTCAGTTAATTTATTTTATTCATGACATTTTTACTCATTTTAAATGATATACTTGGTTAAGGATCTGAACTAGGGAGAGCCAGGGTCTTTTGCAGATTAGTCCTGCCAGTTATAATTAGTAATATTGTCTTAAATAAATCTTTTCCATGATGTCTTCTCCACACAGATATGAGTCCATCATAAATAGTGCATTTCTTATGGATAATTCCAGCTTTCTGATAAAATATAAGGCTTCTTCTTGTCATTATTCAAACTGGAGCATAACTTAATAGAGTTCATTTTGCTAACTAAATGCATCTGTTAAAATATATTTAAGGGTGATTCTCAGATTATGGGCAATGTTCATGATAAAATTTTTAAAATTTTGATGGCATTTAAATACAATTTTCTAAATACCTCACCTTCTATTGCCGCTCAGCTGTTAATCTGAGCAAATGGTGAAGATCAAAAGTGTTTTTTTGCTCAGTAAGTAAAGCTAATCATTTGGGTGGGGAATGACACGAGTTTACAACTTGGTAATGACATTTTCACATATTTTATTCGGCTAAAACTACAGTGTAACTAGTATTAAAATTTTTGTTTTTCCAATTGACTTGCTACAGACCATAGTTAAACATAAATTATAATGAATGAAATAATTTGAATAGATAGCGAGATAATATAAGCGGTGGTAATGACAACAATAAAGGTACGTGCTCACCATACAAGAAACGGATGCGTAGAGGGAGGCTCCCCAACTTCAGATGGTGGCTTTCCTTTAACTCTATGGCTACTACTACACTGAAGAAATTGCCACTGTTCCCTCTTTTCAATGCTTAAATATCTTACGTTATGTTTTTTGCTTGGTAATGACAAAAAAGTGATGGGAAAATCCATAAACATACGTCACTGTTAACAAAAGTTAAAAAATATATATAATTCAAACAAAATGCCTTTATTATTCTTTAGGAGTGGAAATAAATTTCACTTTCATTTTACATAGGTTCCGAAAAAACAAAAAAATTGTTTACTAGAAAACTGGGGGGGCAATATGTGGTAATGACATTTTAGTAGCTTAGGTATTTATAAAATCACATTATTCTTTAATATTTTGATTTTTAATATTTCATTATGAAGAAATACTTTTTCACCGTACAGCGGTGGAAAAAAAAAATCAATTTAGACTTAACTAATCACATCAACGTTGTAATGGACTAAAACGCACCTAAAATGAGATTCATCCTTTTATATATATGTGTATTAGAAAAATGACAACATTGATTAAAATATAACTGTCAGGGCTAATCTGCAATAGACCTGAGAGCCAAAGAGGGCAAGCATTTGCGCCGGTGGCAAATTTCAAGAAAAAATGTTTGTACCATATCTAAAAAATAATTCTTTCTACTTTTTGGCCTTGTTGATTATAATATTTATCAAGATTGTAATATTTATCAATAAACCATTATAAATGCAAAAAAACTTTTTGGCCTTAATTCTGTCAATGACATGAGTTAATATGATCTGACAATGATATTTGTTTCGAAATACATTACCTAAAATACTGACTTTAAACTGAGAGTGGCAGGATGTGAAAGAAGGACGGCAAAATTATGCTTGCTCCTTCTAGCAAAAATCCTAGTTCCGGTCCTGAAGTGGTTAATTACAATTCTTGAGTTCCTTGTTTTAATTCAAGCTTTGTGCATATCAATATGCATTTTACATTTTAATATTGCTAGTCCAACACATTTTATTTATTTTTTATTAGACTATGCAATGCCTCAATTTTAGCTTTCCATAACTAATAATGGAAAAAATCACATTAAAAAAATTATATACATATTTTGATGTTATTCTTTCATACTATGTCATACAAAACTAAAATACACCCCTAAATATGTAGAAACTTCTCAATCACTTAGATTATATGCTAATTAGAGAAATCTTTACATTCATAATGCTCTTGAAGTTATAAATTGTAAAAGTGCATCCTAATGCTCAGTTCCCTATATATCTTTTTATTTAGTTTATTAGACTTTTTCAGATTATATTCAACAATAAAACAGCCATCCTTTCTAGAACCTATTATGTTTTTTTATTCTTTGAAAAAAAAAAATAATAATCACCTTTTAAAATTAATGCGCTGTAAGTATTTAGCAAAATTAATTGCAGATCTGAACAGCTAAGAAAAATAAATTATAAAATATTAAACCACATTCTTGAAAAACTAATTATATTGGTTAAAAAAATTATTTTCTATATTAGATTTGTTTTTCAAAATAATTTCAAACTAAAACATGGGCTAAACAAAATGAAAAACAAATAAAATATTTTATCATCAATAAACAATATCTGACTGTCTCCTATTTCACTTTTAAAAACTATACGGAGATTCCTATAAATTTTACAATTAAACGAGGTTTTTACACTGGAGAAAAATCTAATATAATCAGAAAAAGTTAAAATAAAATGATGACACTATTTCATCTGCTTTAATAATATTTTTTTTAAAATTTAAATTAAAAAAACACCAGTTGATTTACACATTGAAAGATAAGTAAATCTATAATTATTTTTATATTAAGAATATATAGTATAATTAGAGGAAGACATTATCATTTAAATAAGTTAAAGATATACCAGGTGAAAAAAAATCTAGATTAGCAAAATATTGACCATTTTATGATGTGCACTTCCAAAATAAAGTCAAAGATAAACATCATTATTTTTTTTTCAATTCAGATTTTACAGGATGTACCGAACCATCCCGCAGAAAAACAATTCAATAAATGGCAATTAATTTCAAATTTTGTGTTAGAATAAAAATAAATAACGTAGAGAATGATTTATAAAAAATAAATGAAATAAAAAAAAAAAAATAATATAGATTTAATAATCCTTCAGTGATTTGGTAAATAAGTTTTAAAGAAAGCTAAGAGAATGTCATAGAAACTAACAAAATAATTAATGCAGAATATGTTATGTTCATAATTAAACAAAATTGAGAATTAAGAGACTATACTCCATTTGGATTTCGTGAATTGGTTAAGACAATAAAAAAAACAAAAACAAATGATCGTGATTCACATTAAGTCTAAATAATAATATAATATATTATCGCTATAAATCTCTAATATAGCTTTTAAGCTAGAATCTCTGAACATATGTTACTGCCTATATTATTACATTGGTATGCTTTCTAGATTTAATTTTTCAGCAATTAAATTTTTATTTGTAATAATTATATTATTATAAATACTTTTGTAAAATGGTCATAAAATCAGTAAAAAGTTATATACATATATCTCAGTAAGGGCAACATAACATGGTGTTCACCTTTTTTTTTTTTGTAAGCCTTATTTTTTTAAAATCACAATTCTTAGTCTTTGTTTTAAATGTTACTTTTAAAATAGATTAACTTTTTTTTTTACTTCTTCTTATGTGCCACTCTAATACCACTGAGCTCCTATCGCATGGAAGACTCTTCTACTATCCAAATGTAGTAATTTTTGATAGAAATTTGTAATACAGCATTTTAAAAAATATACCATTGCACACCAAACTATAAAAACAGAGTAGTAATCATAATATCATGCAAAATTAAATTAAAATCACCAACAGGGGCAATATTTACTTACATAACTGGACGGAAATAGTAAAAATCATTGGACAAATTGATAATTTAAATGCTTATTGATAGTTTGAATGCCAAACAGAAAAATATTTTTAATATAATAATGAGTATTACTTTTAATTTACAGGTACAAGACAAAAGTTTACCCTAATCAAAAAATAAAATTTTCTGCTGTTCCTTATAGCCTTAATTGGCCAAAATTAGAATGGACAGAAGTTTTTTTTTACTGATATAAATAATTTTTTTTCTCTTCATCAACTTTGAATTTAAAAAAATAATTCAAATAATCATTACTAAAGTTAACGAAATATAAAAAAAAATATGATGTAAAAACTGTTAATAATTATAACACCTTACAGAATTTAGATGTATCCGTGCCTCGGAGATAAGATAATTCTAAAGGGAACAAATTTGCACAAAAAATACTCTATCTTAATGTAAATTTGTACTGAGTAAAAATAGATTATTTTGATAAAACCAATTCGAAGATCCAAATTTTCAGAATTTGTTAATTTTTTTATAAAATAGAAAATTCAAAACAAAGGTTAAAATTAAATTTGAAGAGGAAATGATATTTCATAGAATTATACAAGAAGCTTTGACTACTAATGAAAGTTCTCAACTCTTCATTGAGTTGACAACAGATTTATTTTACTAAATAATTTTAAGAATGACATTTACCTTATTAGTAGGAAAATCTAAAACCATCTTAAGGCCAACAACTTGAGGAAAAACCTTGGAGGCAGAGCTTAGGCTGGGAGATTATGCTAAAGAAACAAAGTCTTGTTCTACATTACTTCAGGCAGCTACCTAGTTAAATATAACAACTTTTTTCCCTACATTTTGATTTGTTTAACATTCTTTAAATGGTGTCCACTTATCCCTAAGCTTTGTAATTTAAATAACAAAAGGTTATTGTTAGGCACATGCACTTTAAGTTTCCTTCTAAAGTTATTTACCTATCTCCAATAGTATTTAATGTGCTCTAATAATAATTTCTGAAGAAAATTATGAGTTTTAAAAGCCTGTTAGTTAATGAAATTAAAAATACATAACTATTAATGACAGTTCATCCCAGAGGTACAGATACAAACAAATTGAGTTGTAATTTTAAAAATATTTTGGAGTAATAATTTAATTTGAAGCAAAATAGAAGAAGTTGAACAAAAAGTATTAAATGAGAAATTAGAATGATAACAAATATTTCTTGGTTGTGGAGAGGAAGTAGGACTTTCAAAGTACTTAAAATATCCAAGCATAAATCAGCTATATCACATAATTTGTAACAAAAACTGAAATCATTTATTTAGAAAATCAAATGATAAAGAATAACTAGTTGATAAAAGCTCATGATTTCATCGAATTCGTTTTCATGATTCAAATATTTATATCAGTTTAAGAAGATAAACAAATAAATTCAGATACAGGACTTTGATAAATAAGACATTCAAGAATTAAGAGCACTATGAAAATAATTGATCTTAAACTAATTTTTATTTAAACATATCATATTTATGGAGTGTCTAGGCCAATGTTTAATCAATCTTATAAATAATAATTTTAAATTGATGGTTCCGAAATTTACCAATTTTTATCAACAGAAGTTCTGAAACACTATGAATTACCTACAGAACACTTAATAAATAAATTTAAGACATCAATTAGCAACAGTCATTGAAAAATCTGTTCTAACAAAGTATCTGTTTGAATAGAAAAATAAAAACAACCTGGCCAAAATAATATTAAACTAAAGGAATTGCCAGATATTACTCCACTGTGTGTTCAATAGACTCCAGAAACCAGAGGACGCTGTTGATTTCAACGTCAACCTCATGAGGTACTTGAGACAACGAATGGTTATCATCATACACCAGCGCCCTGGAAACAGTGTAAATTAGTATTTCAGATGTTTACTAAAGTTGTCTCAAGTTGAAAAAAAAAATTATAGAATGACCATTTATTTTATTCAATTGTTATTTAACAATATTACATTGTGAATTCAAAGATCAGGTGTTGAACTGGGAGTTTAGCTGATTTTTAATAAGTTGTTAATAATAATTTGTTATTAAATTAGTAACAGAAAAAGTAGGAATTACAAAGAATTAGCCAATGAACAAGTTATAAATCATTGAGAATTTTAATACAAACTTCAAAATAACAAAAATTATAAAATCAATTTTTCAGATAAAATAAGTAACTCATTCAGCAAGCGATTTCAAAATTGTGGGGGTTAGAATGGTAGTAAATTAAGTCGGCTTTGTTTGTGCACTCAGTGCAATATTTAAAATCAAATATTCAAATTAAAGAAAAATGTTTTATGAACAATATTTTAATAAAAATTAAGTTAAAAGAATATTAATTTATTTACTAGAATCTGTAATACATGGAAGATATCTAATTGATAAGAATATTACTAATTCATAATTTAATTTACTTCTTGGTCAGTAATAGAGCTTTTAAAAAAAAAGGTAGTGAAAATAACATGTACATATGTAAGTGAATAGAATGTAATGAAACAGACTACATCATAGTTTTAACACCACCTAATCCAATTTTCCTAACTCAACAGTAGGTAAAAAAACTGGGTAACCCAAAAAGTAATGATCTCCTAACAATTTTATAGCAAATTTAAACCTCAAATTTACTACTCTGAAAAACATATTTTTGACAAAATTATTAAGGTAAATCAAACATTTTTATAAATGACTCAACTATTAGGCTCCATTGGTATGCTAGATTTTGAATTAGGTTGTGTTAGCAGAAATTTGGTATGCAGAATAAGGTCAGCCATCATAATAACTATAAATTATGAAGGAAAAGAAATGTTTAAAAAAAAAATTGATCAGGACGTTGTTGAAGTTAAAGTAAAAAAACAATGATATACAAGATAATGAAAGAAAAAAAAGAGTCTGAAAACCTTGCATAATACAAGGTAGTTTTTATCGATCAATTCAACAAATGTTTTTATGAAACAGAATAAACATTATGACTCACATTGGTTAATGACAATGTTGATTTGAGAGGTAACTTAGGTTAGGAAAATTGTGTAGAAAGAATAGTTTAGAAAGGATTGTTATCATTTGAGGATCCTAAGTTATTCGTTTCATTAAGTATATAACTTACTTAATATTAAATTAATTTCCTTCCTTAAGGATAACTCAAGTTACGTTATCCTTAACAAACAAATAGTTTAATAACTATTTGTTTCTTCAATGTTAAATAACTAAAGGATAGCTTAAGTTACCCTTTAGTTACTTACTTATATTTGAATTATTAGAGTACACTGAATCACTAACCTAGTCTTGACACCTCTCGCTTTCAGCTGTCTGAAGTATGAGAAACCCTGATAAGCAGGTACTCGCAGATCCTTCTTACCAAGGAGGAGAAGCACTGGTGCAGTTACAGATGATATAACACTAATAGGTGATTGAGACATCATTACCTCAAACATGTTAGCATTCATTTGAAGTGTTGGTTCGAAACTAAAACCTCCTTCAATTACAGCCCTATGTAAATAACAGACAATATTAGTTTTAGAACTGAACATATTTAATCATGTTCAACACTAGTACATGTTTAAATTCTAACAATAATGAAAGTATAAGCCACTTCATCAGTGAGTGTTTTCAGCAAAAATGACAACAATAAATAATTGCAAAGCTTTAATTTCTTTTTTTCTCAAGGACTGGGATCTATTATAATAAACATAACTGCATAAATACTCATTTTTTTAACAAAAAATAAAGTTAAAATAATGAATTTTTAAATGTTAATTATCTAAAGTGGTGATGGAACTGTGGTTTTTACCTAGATCTTTATTACTGGAATAAATAATTATTCATAAGTGACCAACTAAATGTTCCTAAACGTAATATTTATGTTTTCACAAAAATAATTAAAGCAATCAGCGAGTTTCTTTATTTTAGATATAAATATCAGGATTGGAAACAGTTTGTGAAATATTGTTATGGTAGCTGAGTAGTAGTTCTATTTTCTTTAGTATTTTTTTCCACTTATCTAAATTCTATTAGGCATATCCCAAAAAAATATCTCGAAAGCATTTTCTTTAGATTTATTTGTTTGTTGTTGCAATTCAGACAGTAAACATTACAAAGTTTTATAAATTACTATTTATGCTTGATATAGATAGATTTTAATATTTTAAATCAGTAAAAAATAAAATAGAATGATCACATTACATGTACTGCAGTCTCTTTTAAGTTCAATCAAAGTAGACAATTGCAAAATACTTATTTTCTTTTAATCAATTCATTAAAATCTAGGAACCAATATGAACACTTTTATGTTTACTGGCAGAAGAACAAATCTCAATGAAGGCATTGATGAATGCTAATCCTGAATAATAATTAAATTATCTGTTCATTTGTAAAGAATCTGTTTAATGTATAGCATTTCCAAGTCAATTTCAACCTTTTCCAAATCAAATTCAACCTTTTCCAAGTCAAATTCAAAATTAAACCTTTTCCATTTCAAATTCAACTTCCGAATTTTTGTCAATTTTCAACTTTTTTCGAAATGAAGGCCATTTACTATATTATTGAATGCATAGCTTTTGAAAAATACAAAAAAAAATTTGATAAAGCGGTTGCATATCCATTTATTTTAATATTTTAGATTTTTTCAGTGTAATATTTCTATGTCCTATTTAATTATTTCCAAGTCAAATTCAACCTTTTCCAAGTCAAATTCAACGTTTTCCAAATCAAATTAAACTTTTTCCAAGTCTGATTCAACCATTTCCATTTCAAATTAAACCTTTTCCAATTCAAATTCAACCGTTTTCATTTCTAATTAATGTTTTAGTTTTTTGTAAATATTAATTTTTTTTTAAATAACGGCCATCCGCTCCCCCCTCCAATATGAAGGTCTATTATTATGCTCTCCTAAGTAGAATTTTCACTTACGGATATCGATTTATTGTACCTATTCGGATTTATTAGAGTTTATCTAATATTTAATCTCCATTTTATGATTAAGCCACTGCATCTCGATTAATTAGGCTTCATTTTGGATTTTTTTTAAAAAGTAAGGCTGCGGAATCATAAAAAAAGAACTATAAATTAGATAAATTCGAAAAACTTGAATAAGTCAAAACGCAGTGACGTAATCTTAAAATCGAGGTCGTTTTCAAAATCTATGATTTCAGAAACATAAGAATACACTCTTTTATGATAAAAATTCGAAACACTTAAAGAAATCGAAACGCGGTGGCCTAATCTTAAAATGGAGGCCGTTTTCAAAATCTACGACTCCAGAAACATAAGAATATGCTCTTTTATGATAAAAATTCGAAACACTCAAAGAAATCGAAACGCGGTGGCCTAATCTTAAAATGGAGATCATTTTAAAAATCTACGACTCCGGAAACATAAGAAAACACTCTTTTATGATAAAAATTCGAAACACTCAAAGAAATCGAAACGCGGTGGCCTAATCTTAAAATGGAGGTCATTTTCTAAATCTACGGCTCGGGAAACATAAGAACACGACCTTTTATGAAAAAAATTCAAAACACTTACTTAAAGAAATCAAAACGCGGTGGCCTAATCTTAAAATGGAGGTCGTTTTCAAAATCTAAGGCCTCCGAAACATATTTAACCATTATTTAAAAAAAAAAATTAATATTTACAAAAAACTAAAACATTAATTTGAAATGAAAACGGTTGAATTTGAATTGGAAAAGGTTTAATTTGAAATGGAAATGGTTGAATCAGACTTGGAAAAAGTTTAATTTGATTTGGAAAATGTTGAATTTGACTTTGGAAATAATTGAATAGGACATAGAAATATTACACTGAAAAAATCTAAAATATTAAAATAAATGGATATGCAACCGCTTTATCAATTTTTTTTTTGTATTTTTCAAAAGCTATGCCTTCAATAATATAGTAAATGGCCTTCATTTCGAAAAAAGTAGAAAATTGACAAAAATTCGGAAGTTGAATCTGAAATGGAAAAGGTTTAATTTTGAATTTGACTTGGAAAAGGTTGAATTTGATTTGGAATAGGTTGAAATTGACTTGGAAATGCTATAGATGGAAGTTTGTGCAAACCGGTCCGTTTTGGAATACTGCTCATTATCCACATTAGGTGAATCTTCATTCCCCAACACATTAGCGATTGAGGATTTGCCTGTATTAGTGTATGAGAATGCTAAGAACTCAAAAAGAAGTTTTTAAGGCAAAGCTTCAGAATAGGAAAACTCATCAACTTACCAATCCTGAATGTCCGACATGGCAAAAGCTGTGGGCAGATCAAGAACTGGGTTTCGTACTGACAAAGATTTATAAAATGACTGAAAAAAAAGCAAACCAAAACATTACTTAGAAATGTATTAACACTCACCAGTCAGGGATGTCAGACCCAGGGAAAGTTGTCAGATCACAAACAGGATTAAGAGCCACACAACTTTTGTAAATACTCTGGAAAATAATTTATGGAAAATATTCAGCCCAATTTCGAAAGTAAATTAAGTAGTATGTTATGAAACATTATTACACATCTATTATATGGGTACCAAATTGAGATTGAGATAAAAAGGTTACAATCCAGTGATAATAATTGGAAAATACAGTTGCCAAAAAAGATAAGAATGGCTGAAGCTCATAGAGGATGCCACCAGGGCAAGTGATGGATTGTAGACCAACTTATTAATAATAATTTTAAATAAAAATTAAGATTTTGTCAAGTAATATTCTCATTTTTAATATATACCTAACAATAATAAACGATTTACAGAGTAGGCTAAAATAAAAAATTAAATTTAAATATAAGATGTTTTGAAATAATGGCTTGAGATATACTTTTAAACACATTCACACACACTAAACCAACCCCTTCTTTCTCTGACTATCTTGGACTGTTGCTCTACAGTTTTCTGCATGCAGTTTCTACTTTGTTTCTTATCCCTGATATCTATTTTTATTTGTCCTAAACAAAACTTACAAAGGCCGAATTTTCAACACTAATTGATATAGTTTTATATTTAATTTTGACAAATCACTCATTTTCACACAAAATTTCTTCTTTTGTTGGGAAGTTTTACGTTAATACTAGTGAGCTTAGCAAAAATAACTTCCTCAGTGTCACATATTCACTTTATTTATCACATATTATTACAAAGTTGACGTTTAGAAAATACCTTTCCCCTCATCAGAACTGTCTATTCTTTACTATTTTGTAGGTTTGCTCACTCCATCAGTCATTAGTTTTTCTTTTTTTTTGAATTTATCATCAAGGGAAACATATATTTTGCCTAACAATTGGTATCTCTCACTATGAAATTAAATTATCTTTTAATTTAAAGTATAAACTTTATATTATAGCCATGAACCTTCGGTCGAAACGTCGGTAAAAATAAAAATAAATATAATTTTATAATGACTGAACATCCCAAACAACTTCTCTTCAATATCTACGACAGTCAATTATTAATTCACTATCATAAATTTTAACTGTTTTGTTACAGTTATGATCGGTATCTTTTAACATCATTTATAACGTTTTATCATGTTTGTTGAAAAATAATCATTACACTCCATTGAAGCAAAATATATCAGAAAATTAAACCATTCTTTTTTATCTTTTAACACTTTTCATGTAGTCTCAAGCCAAATAATAAGTTGTTCATAATTGCATAAAAGTGCAATGAAGAACTTTTTACCTTCATCTATTAGATCGAGGTATACAACTTTTTATACGTATATAAATAATGCCTTCACATACTTTCTTCATATTGAGAGAACAACTTTTACATTGCTTTAAATTCAATCTTTGGCTTCTGTGCAATTGTAGATTTCAAATATTTTTAAAGGAATAGTAATAAAAAATTTATCTCAGGCCTAAATTATTATAATTAAAATAATTGATACTGGATCACTCACAGGATATTGGCCAGCCAGATGAAGTGACAAAAAGCCACCATGAGAACCACCAAATAGAAGACATTTGTTTGATGAAAGCTGGCCTGCAAACATCTTGAGGACAGTCTCTGCAGCCTGTTGAGAGTCCCTCACGTCTGTCTTGCCAACTTTACCCAAGAGGAAGTCGACTGAGGCTTGGCCAGCACCAACTGACCCTCTGTAATTCGGCATCACAATGCCGAAGCCTATGAATGGTGTAAAAATAAAAAAAATATAAAATAATGAAATCAATGACAACTTGGTAAAATTTATTTACCGCTGTTAGCCTAATCAAGTGATAACGCAATTATTATAACCAAACTGTTTACTGGGTAAGAAATTACCTGTATAATCTCTTTTAGACCATCAAAAAAAAAAAAAAAAAATATTCCCATACTACTTATGATGTTTTATGAAAATTTTAAATTATTCTAGTTTCAATGACCTATTAAGATTCCTTCTTAGAAGGAACAAGCAACCAAAAATATTTGTCTGGCAATAGTACTGAACCATCTCTATCAGTACAACATTTTAATGTGAAAATGCCTCACGTTGATATTGACATAATTTTTTTTTTCAAATTACTTGAACTATTTTAATTTGTTTATTTAATCAAATCCACCAAGATATTTTGTCAGATTTTATGTGAAACTCTTCTAGGACGTCTAGGTTAGAATCAAATGTTCAACAGCATTTCTAAAATCACAGTAGTACATAAATAGTATTACTTACCAAGAGATGCTAAAAAGTTCGCTAAAATGCTAAATCCATTAGTAAATGCAGAATGCGGTCCTCCATGAGACCATAGAACCAAAGGAGCATCTGCATCATCTTTAGGAATCATATATAGAGCAGAAAATTTGCCTGAAAGAAATAAAATGCTTTCAAATAAAAAACATAAATAAATAGACAGATTCATTACAATAGTGATCTATCAGAAATATAAAACAGCATTAATCACTGCAATGAATTATAATGAGCTATTAAAGAAACTCGTAAGTTGTTTAGGCTTAACTGGAACATGTTACTAACAAGTATATACATCGGATGATACTGAGACTAAATAACTCCTAGCTAGTCTGGATTGTTGTATCTCTGATTGAGATGAGTTCTTTGTGCCGCACTCTTCCTTCTTTACATTTAATTATAGGAAATTAATGGTTTTCCTAATTAGTTTTTCCTGGGTCAGGGGTGAGGGCAGGAGATTACTGCCAGACTTGAACAAACCACCTGTTTACACAATCCTGACTCCTGTTGTAGCCAAGTTAACAATTTTATAGAATCCAAAAATCTTTTTGATATACCTTCATTTCTTCCATCGGAATCTATTTCTGAAATAGAACTAACTCTTTAATCAGATGAAATTACTTAGAACCCTCAGCCAAAATTTCTGAAAAAAATGCAAGAAAGTCCAACAGAGGCTCTCCTGAAAACCAAGCCCTTCCATTCCACAGTCCTCAAACCCATTTAATCTGTCGAAATTCATTTCATTATATGTAAAGAATTATTTCATGTTCTTCACAGAAATAATCTTATTGATTTTCTTAATTTGAATTTTACAAACGATTTTTTACTATTTATGATCTAGAAACCAATTCTTTAATAAACAAATTATTTCTTCAAAGTGCTTCTCCTGTATCAAGACTTACTGATTGGAAAACTTGAGAATCAACTCAAATAACAATGCTAATGTTAAAAAACAAAAAACTATTTCTTAAAAATAAAATTAAAAAATAATCACTCACTCACGCTTTCAGCTTCACAATCTGCATCCAGCCTGAGGACACCAGTTTTGAAACCACTGACGATCGGTTCCTGTTCCAATAATGTTAACCAATCAATAACACCTGTGCTAGACAATTTACCCAGCAATAATGAGGGAGGTGTGTCCAAAGAACTGCGGTAGCACAAAACCAAATCTTTGTAAATGTCAAGAAAGCCAAGATTAAAACTGTCATCAGAGTCATCACTAATTGCCTTTATAGTTTTGTTAACTGTAAACAAATAAAACATTATTGAGCTACTTTTCTTTAATTTAATATTATTTAAAAGTATTTAAAAAAAAAAAAAAAAAAAAAAAAACGGATACACACAAAAGAGTTGAAGTACAGCATGCTGTGCTACATTAAAATTCTGAAAATCTCAAGATCTCTAGAATTTTAAAAATTACTAAACAAAAGATTCATAAAGGTTAAAGTCCGGTCAGAAAAGGTTATAAAATTAATCTTTTCATAAGTACTGTGGGGTATAAAATTAACATATGTGACCAGTATAGTTTGAAGTGATAGCAATATGAATAGCTCCCAATTAGCACAGAAGTATTACAAATTTTTCTTATATTAAAGTCATCAAAATAATATTTACAATATTATGTTTGTATGCATACAGTAGGATAAAAGCAACATTAGCCGACAGTGTACTAATAACTGACATCCTCCTTCAAAAGTGAGAATAATATTTCACGAGCTTCTAGACCTTTATTTCATATCTTTTTTGTTTTTATATCTTCTTCTTGTACATTTCATTGCTTTCCTTCAGTCTTGCTGAGAACCGTAACTGAAATAATAGTTGGAAAATTAGTAAGGCCTCTCATGGTCCACTTAGTGTCCCAGGAACAACCATTCAGTAAGGGCATCATACCTTAAGTTTGTCTTATTCAATTTAACTACTTCGATTTATCCCAAATTTTTTGTTTTTAAATTAGTTTTATCTGTTTTTAACTTATTTTCTTAAAGAAAGTGGAAATTTAACGGATGTCAGCTACCGGAGCCTTATTTTGGGTCTTTTGCTTGTAGCTAAAAGTGCTGAACATGCATAAATTCAAAGAGGTATGCTTAAATATAACATGGATTAAATTAAAGACAAAAATAAATTTTCCTATTGCCAAAAAAAAAGATTCTTAAAAGTTTCCAGCAATAATTTTTTTTATTTTTTATTATTATTGAAATTTACAACTGTATTAAATGATAAATACAACAAGTAAAAATGAACAAGTGACATGACATGTCACTACCCAACTTCATGAAGAGAAACTACCCATTGGTAGCACTCCAATAAATTTAAGTCAGAAAGTACAAGAGTTAGTTTTATAATAACTTAAAGGTAATTTTTGGTAACATCTATTTCAAAATGGAGACTACGAAATTTCAACACTTTATTTTGCATAAATGCATCCTTGTTTTCTTCTTGTCAGCTTTAGGAACAATCCAAATCAAACAGATATAGCTACAGTTGCAACAAAACTATTCTCTAAATTTAATTTTTTTTTTAAATTTAGCTGAATGTTTCTTTGATTTTAAATGTGTCTTTGAAAGGTTAGAATAAGTTCTGTAAGATCAATCAAAGAAAAATACAATAAAATCAATATTTAAATTTTTATAAGCAAAAGTTCAAAGAAATTTCTTCAAGCATGTGAGCTACTGGTGCATTTACCCCATATGTCTGTCATGTAATTATTTGCATCACAGGTATCAGTTTGAAACTGTTAGTATCGTATTTGACTTTTTATCATGTTTGATAAGGAGTTGTGCTATATTGTTGCTGCGGATTTGTTTTTTTTATGTAAAGGATGGTGGGTGCAATGTATGAGAGTAGCTGTCAAAAAAAGAAAATTACAAGTCGAGATGAAAGTCTTATAAGTTGTCCAACTGTAATGGATTCTGCAGGAATGATATTAAACAAGAGATGTTGAGACATTGATTTTTTTTTTTTCAAGTCTTGATTTATTAAACATCACTAACATTCTAATATTTGATATAATAATGAGAAAAAACATAAAATTTTTAAATGGAAATACAGTACCTATGTCAACTAGATAAGGTTTGAGGCTAGCCCTCTGAATAGTATTGAGGACCAATGTCTTATTATCTGGCAGCCAACACCTTGATGGCAGGCTTTGACTGTAAATTCCATAAAACTGCTGGCCATCAGCAGTAGTAATAGATTCTTTGACAATGTCTACAACAACTGAGCTCTGTAACAAGAAACAAATTTTTAGCACATTGCACTAAAATCTTAGACATATTTTTGAAAGTTCATGACACTAAGTTTTTTCACAATTAATTGTCAAAGCTAATATAAGACAAATTTCCTCTAAAACTTAATAGAATTATTAACAATTTATAAAGAAATTAATTAAAATAAAATTTTAATTACCATATACTTATTTATAAATACCATTTAATAATGAAATTAGAATTTGAATATAGCTAGTGGTTTGTATCTTATATTTTTATAATCGGGAGAGGAAAGATAATTTTTTTTTTTGATTAACTGATTAAAATTATTGCGGGTATGTTTGTATCAAACATATGAGTAACCTCATATCAAAGAAGGACATCTGCCGTTTTTAGAAAGTGAAGAAAAAGTTAATTTTTGTTTTATAAACTCAACTCAAACTGTTTCTGATGATTTTATTTAAGAATTCTCAAGTTGAATCATGGAAAACAATCATTAGAACTGGTTTAAATTGAAACTATGTAAAAACAATTGTCTTTTTCTGAAATTTTTAAAAATGAAAGATGTCCCTCTTTGATGTGAGACCACTCATATGGTGTAATTAAATTAGAACATAATAGCATCATAATTTAAACATTATTAAATTAACAAATACAATTGCTACTATAAATTATAAGATTCAGTTGTTTACACAATGATTTGGAAATAAAGAATTAAGAAGAAACAAAAATGTCGTCCCTTCAGGACCCAGTTTACTAAGCAGTTGGTTTAATTCAGTTAGCTTGTTCATCTTCACTGCTCTGTTGTAAGTTAGACAAGTATATCTAAAAGTCAAAGCTATATCTACTTGTCTAAACACAAATATATTGTAAAATTTTAAACTGATCCTTTTTTTATCCTGAACGATGGGATAGCCGAGCATTTGCAAGAACCCTCGGATATGGGTAAAATATTTTTCAATCTAGGATCACCTAAAAATGTTTCATTAAAATCGGTGACCCCATGTCCATAGTCTCCCTAAGTCAATAGCAGTAGAAAAGTAAAAATACTTTAAAATTAAATATTTTTAAATAATTTATTTTTTAGTAACATAACTATTCAAAACCTTTTGGGTGGTCCAGTCATAACAGATCAGTCTGTGACACGCATGATGTGGACCTCCCACTTCTCTCTCTAACCAAACCAGAGAGCTCTTATCTGGGGAGAATTTTGGACTTCTTACAGCTAGTTTATCACCACTCAATTTACCTATAATAGAAAAAATAATTGAATAAATTGGCACATGACCCTCATAAGGAAGGCATTAACTTTGTTCAAATATTTTTTTACTAATAGTCATCCAGAATCAAAATCTGTAGAGAGATTAACAAAAACTCTTTAGAGATAATATAACAATTAGATAATTAAAAAGATTTTTAAAATCAATAGTAACATAAATTTCTACTCACTGTAGCTACCATCAGGCTTTATATGCACAATCCAAGACAGTCTGTTGGTGCAAAATATAAGACCAATCCGCCAAGGTAAATTGGACCAAGCAACTGCTACAATTCCACCATCTGGAGCCCAAACAGCTTGTCCGAGGCTATGATCCTCTGGGCAACCTGCAGCAATACTGATTAACTCCTGCTCCAAATCACAGATGCACAGCACTGGTGAGCATTTGCCAACCAGTTGCTCACCCCAATCCTCAACAAACTCGTATTCACAGCCCTAAAAATGAAAGGTAAAAAATAAAAAAATTACAAAATGAAATATGACTTGCGAGGGAAATTTATGATTGTGTAAACACACATTTGAAAATGTTTTTGGTGATACTAACTCAAAAATATTATGCATGCATTAGGTAGAACCAAGAAAAGAAGTAGACTAAATAGGACAATAATATGAAGATATCTTTCAATATAAATATATACAAATATAAGAGGTTTGTAGTACAAATATGAAACAGAAAATAAACTGTCAAAAAAGGCTAAGAATAAAATATCTATAACTAAGCAGTAAAGGAATAATTTATTTTTCAAGAAAAATTGGTTGAGGGGTGCAATGTTAGATGAAATAACATACAAATAAGATGTATAACTTTTTTCTGTGCGGACGTTTTGACCTTTATCACACTGGCCTATTTCAAAATTTCAAAACAAGTCGTAAATAAACAAATTAAATCCAAATAAATTGGCACTTGTATTAAAGATTTCAAATGTAACACCCTCCCTGATGTAAGCCTAAAACTGAGACAGAAGCCTGACAATAAAATCAGAATTTTTATCAGTGTTATTTCATCTTAAACTGCACAGTACCCTTATCCATCCTAACCAACTTTTCCTATCATTCGTGCTAAAATCATATCTCCTTCATTATTATTCAAGTGGTCTACATATTATATGAAATTTACCATTAGATTAAAAACAAAAAAGGAATTAGGCTATTAAAATAATAGGTTGCTAAAAATCATTGCCATCGGTATCAACTAGGAGCTATCTCTCCTAATTTTGCTTATTTGACTCCAGTATATTCTACTTCTTTTGTTGTGAATAGGAATTTAATAACAAATCTTCAGAAAGCCTTATAGAGAGTTTCTTTTACAATATTATCACTCAAACAAAGCTAGGTGTGACAGGATTAACTTCATGTTTCCTTTCATGAAAAATGATAATTTACTCACTTTTTTGGTATCTTCGTCATTCTTTCCAGAAAGTTTTGCAGGAAGAAATGGTTCTGCTTTTGGAACCTTTTTTTCAGCTACATACAATATTTTGGTTTCACAGGATGACCATTGGAAGCTGGAAAACTCACCTGAAATAATAAAATTAATTAAGAACTAATACAACATCAAGATTATATTTTATCAGTTTAAAAATTTGGCATACATATTCATAACAATAAGATAGAATTCTATTAATGAAACTACATTCTTAAAGAATCATCAGATGACAATAAAAACTTTTGATAGCTGTTGATATGATTTAAATAATTCATAAGTAATCAAGATTTCCTTCACTGATATTTAATCTTATAATAAAAAAATATAATTCATAAATAAATAAAATTAAAAAGCCAAGAAAAATATAAGTGTTTATATATTGTCTCACTATCGGTATTAACATCTCCATGAAGATCAAAACTAGTCAAATCAAAAAGTTTCCAAAGAATATTTTTCTTCCAGACCTCTAGATGCTGTTTCTTAGGTGTTTTCCCAGAGGCAGGTATTTCTCTAAATAAAGCTCGGTACAAACCAGATGGAGAATAGGAAGTCAAGAGTCTACAAAAATCATGTTAAAAATTTACTTTTGGAAGATATTGCAAAGATAATCTAGTTCTATACATAAATTTGAAAAATTAAAATCAAAAGGAAAAAAATAAATAAATGCAAAAAATTGGATAGTTGCTATTTTAACTTTGACTTACTTTACGATATATGTAATGTATAGTAAAGGAAAGTTGCGATCATGAACAATTTGGAATTTGAGTTTTTAAAGGAATTGTATGTTTTGAGGACCTCTGAGTCCGCATGTATGTGAACATTCTAACTCAAAACCGAAAAGTTATACGCGACTGAAATTGTGTATTTAGAGTTTGTACAAGCCTGGGCTGTTACAGCAACTTTTTCATTAAAATCCGCTAACCGCAAATGCCACTTTATATTATTGATTTTACACATTTTTGCAATTTTATCGAAAATGGCTCTAATGATTTTGAATAAATTTATTAGATCAGAGTAAAATTAAGCGGTTTTTAAAATAATGTAGGTTATATTCTCATTGATGTTTTCTAACAAAGTTAAATGCCTAATTTTCATATTTCCTTCCTCTAAACTACCTTTATATTTTTTTTATATGAAATAATTAACCATTTCACATTAACAACTGATATAAAAAATGAATTAATACAATGAATGGCCAAAATTGATTGGTAGCTAAACCTTTTTTTTACCCCTTTTTTCCGCCCCTCCTTCCACGCCTTTTAGACTATACGGTTTTTCTGGGACAGGGAAAGAGAGCATGGGATTAATGCCAGAGTTAAAAAAAAAACCAGCACTGGGACGCGAACTTAATAATTATTTTTATCAATTATTTCATATATCAGGTTGCCGGACAACGGCAGTGCTGTGCACACGCGTTATCCCGCTCGGCCACTTTGCCAGCGATTGGTAGCTAAACAAGAAATGAAGGTTAGAACCTATACGGAAACATAAGCGAGCACCAGACCTTTGCCAATCCTCTACCTTTACAGATACGAGATACCCCTCCATCCATACAGAGCTTTCATATTGTTAGTTTGACTTTTATATATCACTAATCCATAACTTTATTAAATGGTTTTCATACAAAATGCTAAAAGATCTACTAATATAAACCTAATAATATCTATTTCAAATGTGTATTGTTTGATACTATACACAGCTGTAAAAGGAAATTAAAAGTATAAATTTTACAGATTCAATAGGCGAGAAAAACATGGTAATTAATTGTTTTAAATACAATTATACCATCATTTTCACTTTGATTTCTCCATATATGGAAATATCTATCTAGTCTAAGGTTGGTAAGTGAAAGTTGTATGGACTGAACCAGATTATTTGATATGTTGCTTGGGGTTTATATTGATATTAAAAATCCTGATTCCAACCTCGGTGTAACATTAGAAGGCCATTTTAATCTTACAATACCAACAATTTTGTTAATTTTTCATTTTGTGCTCAATATCTTAACTAAATAAAAAAATAATTTAAAGATGGGAGAAAGTAGTGGCTAGCCATGGGCAATAAATACTTTGAATGACCTAGGTCTGACCATTCTTTATAAATAAAGTTTTCATTTTTATCAAAAAAAGGGGGAACTTATTCGCACATCCTATAAATGGAGAAAAATACTGTGGTAATATAAAAATTCTTAAATATTACCAAAAGAGAATAATGAATCAATATTTTCCAGATAGATAAGTCTTGACTTACTCAGAAGAAATATCTGTAGATGTTAAAGTCTGAATTTCCTTTGTTTCATAATTGACAAACTGTGTCAACTCAGAGCGAACAGCTATCTTTCTTTCAATGTTTCGCTGTGACCATGATGATTTCACTAATATACTAGGTTCAGTACTGTTTAAAATATAACCTGATACAGGCGATGAAGATTTCTGAATAACATTTTTATATACTGTGATTATTTTGTCCATCTGAAAAAATAAATAATTAAAACGTTTATTTGTATTTATTAAATATGGATAATGATAAATTATAATTAAAAAATAATCATTCTATTCAGTTAAAAAAAAATAAATTACTTCTGATGAGGGTTGTCCAACTTTACGATCCATACGGAAGATTTGAGTAGTTTAATTTTGGCCTCTCTACTAACTTTCTGTTTGTTTATGATTTTTTTAAAATCTAATAGTGAAGTATATTGTCCTTCATCACTCGATTTAGAATCAACTGGTCTTTTATAATTGTTGCTTATAATGGTCCTTTACCATTACATAAACTTCTAGGCTCCATATTTCCTCTTCCATACATGACTTTGGTTGGATTTTTCTGCAACTCTCTTAAATTTAATCCTTCATTCCATTTGACTGAATATGAATAAAGAGTCTCCTGGGAGGCTGCTATTAGAACTACATCATCAGCATAGATCATGGCTTGGACCAGTACTGAAGATAAATTTCAATATCCCACTACTGTCCTGGGAGTTCTCCTTTTACACATCTTCGTGCATATCATACTTGTAATGCACAGTTCTTATCTTTGTATCATAAAAATTAGAGGGCATGTCCGTACTTTGCTCCTTTGTAAAAGTGGAAAGGCTGCAATGTCAGATCATGGAGTCTTATGGTTCCCTTTGGATCTTGGTATAATGATTTAATAGCACTCAACAAGTTTGCTAGCACTATTCTTTTAATTTGTGCATACCACATTTCTTGCCTTAGGACTAAATCAAAATCTGCTCTTAGACCAAGAAATTTCTAGTAGACAGCCTTATCCCGGTTCCATGTTTTTTCTACAATCATCCTTAGGGAGGAAAAGTAGTCCTGACTATTTTCCAAGAATAAATGTTGCTTTCTCCCCTTCAATGTTCTTATTTACAATATACCATAGTCATTGCTGTAAAATCCTGATGATAAAATCTTCATTTTGGCTGACTTTCATGAGAATGAGAATTATGATAGTGTTTGCTCATTCCCGAGGTCAGAACTTGATGTTGCAAACCATTTGGGAAAGCATTTAATATATACCCTGTTGCAACCAACTGAATAACAAAAGCTGTCAGTCCTATTATTTTAAAACCATGCATCACAAATTTTGAAAAAGTGAGAATGCTAATTAATCTCATCACTGAAACATCAGAACAGACTTTCAGAAAGATACATAGGTTAGGGTCAAAAAATGTTGGTCAATTTTTTTAAACAGTCACCGTATCAATTTTAAAAAAGAACAGTGAGAGGTAAGCCAACACCAGAGCATTCTTGGCATTTCAAGAACATTAGCTATACCTGTAATTAGATTATATATTTCTTTTAATGCATGTATATGTTCTTTTTAAATTGGTGAATTTATGTCTTCAAGATAATTCACTAATATTGAGCAACCAGATGGATTACTATTTAAGTCATTTAAAAATATTAATGTGAATAAACGAGCATAACTATATGAATAATAGTTTTAGTTAATAATAGTTAAAAATAATAATAGTTTCTATACAACTTATATTAAAGTTTGACTTGTATAAGCCCACAAATGAATTAAATAGTAGTTCAAAAGAAAATTGTAATTTTTTGTCATTTATATTTCCATATACTTAATTTTTAATAATTAAACTTAACAAAAAGTTGATTAACACTCACTTGGAAAGAGAAAATCTCAAATATCAACTGACAAGTGAAATTTATGGTCAACCTTATCAAAACTAATCTGATAAGAATGTTTACGTACACCTTAATAGACTACAACACTGTATCTTTTATTAAAAACTTAAAATTAATAATATTTAAATTACATTGAATGCTAAAAATTCTCATATAAGCAATTGGGTGAAATTACCAAACAATATTACCTGTTTTGGCATAGCGAAAAGTTGAGATCACCAGATTATAAAAACAAAATAACGAATATTGTTGCTTAAACTAAAGTTGTTAATTCAAGCTAAATGAACAGAGCCTTTAAACACTGAATAAAAATAACCGATAATGTTACAAGTCCCTAAACTAAGCGCTGAGCTCATCAATGATATCTGATCCGTCTCTATTAGGACAAAACGATGCCATAGATTAGCTCAGGGCTGGCTTTAGGAACTAGCCGGACCAAAGAGATCCAGAAGAAAGATCAAGTGTGACCAGACATTTTCGCTCGAATTCGTCAAAAAAGTTGCTGTGAAATTTCAATATTCAACTAAAATACAACATTAAATAAATCAGATAATCCAACAACAGCCCTTAACACATTCGTATGTTTCGTCGTATGGGAACTTGACCCTTACAAGATGGAAAAAAAAAATAAGTTGCACATCACGTAACTTATACTTACCATTCTACTTTGAGTAGAAATAGGTATTTTCAAATGCAGAGAAATTAAAGTATAAGGTATAGACGGTATAACATATTAATATCTTCGGGCTGAAGCCCCTTCCCCAAATGGTAAAATATAACCATGTTTTATGAAAAAAAGAATCTCTAAAAGTATAATTATTCTTATAATTACATTTAACAGGACTTAAAGAACCATTTAAACGCCATTTCATGTAGGTAGTTAGTTTCTTTATTTCTTCCGAAGTAAGTGTCCTAAAATATACATACAAAAAAAAATCTTTCGGGCTGAACCCAAGATCAATAAAACTACCTTAAGGTCAATAAAGGTAGTTTTATTGACCTTGGGCTGAACCCTCCTCAAAATTAAATCCTGGATCCGTTTGTGATTATTTATATAAACTTTTTTGTAGCTATCAAGGTCTGCTAATACCACTTTAAATATTCCTCTCCAATTACGGGACACCCTGTATATATGTATAGGATAATTATTACACTGATAAACTGATGTATTAATTTTGTTGAACTTTTTATTTTTAATTTAATTTTTACTTTCACTTAAGTATTGCGATAGTGAAAATTTTCGAATCCGAATTTTCAACGAAAATATAGTTTTGAGGTCTCCTGAGTTTACATAACCAAATCCCACGAAATGGTTTGTGTGTGTATGTATGTGAATAGCCTAGCTAAAAAACGAAAAGTCGTACGTAATTGAAATTGTGTATTTGAGGTTTTTATAAGCCTGGGATGTTACAGCAACATTTTCGTCAAAATCGGCAAACTGGAAGTGGTACTTTATATAATCGATTTAACACATTTTTATGATTTTCCCAAAAACGGCTTTAACGGTTTTGATTAAACTCAGTTAATCAGTTTTTAATATAATCTAGATTTTATTCTCATTTATATTTTAAATGGCTAATTTTCAATATTAGCTTCCTCTAAAGTACCTTTAATTTTTTTAAATTGAAATAATGCGATTTACATAAATTCTACCGTTGATATTATTTAATATTTAATTGCATAGATTACAGCGATATGAAAATTAAAATTTATTTATATATATATGAGTAATTAAACAAATAAAACTATCCGCAGTTTAAATAAATATAGCGTCTATAATTTTTACTTTCACTTCCTCTATGTCTGAAATTACTCATTTCTACTAAGAAGAGGGTGGCAAGTAAAAGTCGTGTGAAGCGCCCACAATTTTTTTTTTCTTGTTGGCATCACAGATCTTGTAGATCTTTTGCAAGCCTACTCCATCTGTGCTAGTCCTATGCGCGGACTTCGGAGAAGGTTGCGATTTCTCCTCTTCCCGATAAAAACAGAGAGGAGAAGAGAATATCGTTTTGACCTCTTCATATTTCGAAGAATAAAAATAAAATCAATATCAATAACAATTAATCTACTTAAATATATAAAGTATGTAAACTAAAATTAATTAAGGGAATAGGAAAAAAGTCAGTCAATAAAGGAGGTATAGAGTGCATGAGCAGGAACCTAATCTATTCTTTCAGAAACTTACTCAGGGTGCTTAGGGAATGAAAATACCAAAAGTCCTGACCTCTTTTTAGCTAGTGACCCGGGGGTGGGGGTAGGCAGAGGAGAGGAAAGGTCATATTTTTTGGATTTTCGCTTATATATCGAAAACGATGCATCGCAGGAGAAATTGCAGGAGGGTTTAAATTACTTAAATAAAAGAGAAAGATATATATCACCGATTCTAAGCCGGGTAAGGATCACTTCCTCTCTGGAAATGCTGGGACTAGAACTCCAAGGTCTGACATCTTTCTTTATTAGTTTCAGTTTGCTTGGAGCATTCTTTTCCCATACGTCCTGCCATTCCTTTTGGATATTCTTTTTAAGTGGCCGTGAGAGATCTGATGGTATTAGCAGGGTCCTACCATGACCTAGGATCGAGAGTGCTTCTTTTGCTGCTTTATCGGCCATTTTATTGACTTTTATACCAGCATTTCCAGGTACCCATATAATAGTTAACTGATTTCCCGTTAACAGTCATACATTTTCCTATTTCAAGTATCCGTTAAATTCCTGGATGATCGAAACACATGTTTGCTTAACTCTCTAGAGCACTTAAGGAATCTGAAGCAATTACTATTATTGGGCGTTTTTTAAATCTCCCGCCCTCATCTAATAGCGCGGAAAAAAAAAAAAAAAAAACCGTATAGCCTAATACTCCATAAAAAAAAAGTTGTGTACAATAATTAATTGCTAATTTGTCACCACGGAATGATAGCGGAGGTATTCCTGATTCGGTACAGAGGCCTAAGCCTGAAATTCATTTTCGACCGAAATAAACATTTTCCGGTTTTTCTCCATTTTTCAATTATCAAATTTTTTCAAAAGTTTTATTTAGCATTTTTTCGTAACTCTTAATGATGAGAAATAGTCAATTACTTAAAATAAACCAAATTAAAGGTACTTTAGAGGAAGACATGTTGAAGACCTAAATGATATTAAAGACCACTTAATTATACAATGATACACCGAGTTTAATCAAAATCGTTAAAGCCTTTTTTGAAAAAAATATAAAAATGTGTATGATATTTTTTTTTTTATTATTTTAATGGAATTTACAACTGTATTTCATAGAGAATACAATAAGTAAATGAGAAATTGGTAACATGGCATGTACAACATGAAGAGAAACTACCCATTGGTAGAACTCAAATTAAAGTTCTATATTAGAAGATCCCGAGGCCATCTTCTTTTCAGACGCCTCGGAGGGTTATCAGGGATCGAGGAGGAAGCAAGGTTTGAAACGAGAGGATTCGGATGGTTCTACAGTTTGTTATGGAAGGACAGGTATCTGAATTGGGCCAGATCGGAAACATATGGAAGATTAAGGTCTTTATGGATGATTTTATTTGTGACAAAGTAAGGAGCGTTGAGGATTTTACGAAGGATTTTGGATTGTAAGGATTGGATACGAGAGGAATTCGATGGTTTAGCTGAGCCCCAAAGCTCAATTCCGTAAGTCCAAATAGGTCTTATTATTGTCATATATACGAGTCGTTTATAATTGATTGAAAGCTTAGATCGTTTGTCTAGTAGTGCTGCAGTAGTCGAAAACGTCGGAAGGTTTCTAGTCGTTTCAGTCTGTTATGGGGGTTCCAAGTGAGTCGTTTGTCAAGGTGGAGTCCTAAGTAGCGGATTTGCTCAACAGGAATAAGTGGAGTATTATTGAAGGATACTGTAGGACAAGAAGTCATAGGTTTACGACGGAGGGTAAAGGTGATTTGATGGGATTTGTTGGAATTTATTTTTATGCTCCAATTTTTACACCATTCTTCAAGGCTTGTGTAGGTATGTGATTGAAGAGTTTGGGATGCAATTAAAGGATCGTTATTAACTGATAGGATAAACGTGTCATCGGCATAGGTGGTGATGACAGTGTTGGATTGGGTTGGGATGTCAGCTGTATAAACTGTGCAAAGGATAGGACCTAGGATACTACCTTGAGGAACACCGGCAGACTGAGTAAAAAGGGATGAATAAGCATTGTTATGATTGACTTTGAAGTATCTGTCAGTTAGGTAGGAACGGATAATGAGGAAGTATGTAGGTGGTAAGAATTCACGGAGTTTGTACATTAGTCCCGGATGCCAGACTCTATCAAACGCCTGTTCAACGTCGAGAAAGACCCCCATGCAGTACATTCCGCGCTCCAAGTGTATGATATAAAGTGGCACTTCCAGTTAGCCAATTTTAAGGAAAACGTTGCTTTCATATCAGAGTCATATACAAACCTTAAATACGTAATATCAGTTTCCTACGACTTTTCTTTTTTGAGCTAAACTGTTCACATACACACAGACACACAGACCATTTTGCGGGACTTGGTTATTTGGACTCAGGAAACCTTAAAACATATATTTCCTTTGAAAACTCATATTCGAAAATTTTCACGATCGCAATACTTTCCTTTACTATAAATTACATATTACGTAAGGGAAAGTAAAACCTTTTTCTTTATATGATATTTTTCGAAAAAATTTAAAATAGCTGTAACTGTAGACTGGTTGGATATTAATTTGCATATGTATATATATATCCTGATAGGAAATTTAAGTCTTTAGAACTTCTTTTAAATTAATTTCTTTCTCATATGAATAGCTTAGACGATATAAAGGAATGTTTGATGAATAATGTGAGGCTTAATGATTTTTTTTCGAAAATGTCTATTTTTTCCCAACTTATAGCTCGATTACGGTTTGGAATTCGGATAAAACCTATAAAATAAAAGTTTTAAATAATTTTATGAACATTAATTTATTATATGAAAAATTTCTCACCTTGAACAAGTTTCTCAAGTAATCACTTAGGTTCTTGCTCACGCACTTAACACCAAGGGTGTCCACAACGGAGTTTCATGGCGCAAGTTGCGCCATCACAATTATTGAGGGGATACATTTCGACAGTGTTATGAACTTTCGGATTGAAAAGTTTCAAAGAAGGAAACAAAGGGAATATATGGAACAAATCTTGGCAAGTGTAATTGTATATGATTTACGGTACTTTAATTTCTAATGTTTTAAAAAGAGGACAGCAATAAAATATCTTGAGGATAGGAGAGGGGAGGGTAAGACTCCATCCACCTTGGGAGGAATGGGTATTCCTGCTCCACACCCCCTTTTGGACCATTAGCTGGACTAAAAGTCAACTAGATGGTTAAACTAAGGTCTTGAACTAGGCATGCTAGTTGCACTTTACTATGTTCTATTATCCTATTTTTAGTTTATATTCGGATATTTTATGATTCATTCTTGTGAACCATTCCATTTTTACTTGAAGATATTGTCACATTTCCTGTGGCATATTTCAAGCAACAGAGAATTGAGAGTTCTTCTCACTGCCTTTAACCACGGGCGGATCTACGGGGGGGCTTTCGGGCTGAAGCCCCCCCAAAATGGTAAAATGTAACCATATTTTACAGAAAAAAATACTTTATACTATCTCTTAAAGTATTCTTGTTGGTGTAATTACGTTTAATAGGACTTCAAGAACCACTTAAACACCATTTCATATAGATAATTAATTAATTGTTTATTTTTCAAATTAATTATCGTTATATATATGAAAAAAAAAACTGTCGGGCTGAAGCCCCCCCCAAAACTAAATCCTGGATCCGCTAGTGCCTTTAACCATAAAATTAAATTAACCTTAAAAATTATGTTGTTCATTTTACAATAATTATGTTGATTATGTTAATTTTCAAACAGAATTTTCGTGCATTATATAAACTTCGGAGACTTTTTTTTTTAAGGTGGAGGGTCCATCGCCCTCTGCTGGTCTTGGGCTATTTCTTTCCAATTATCTGTATGCAGCTCTATTGTATCATTGTTGATCCCACCTATTTGTCTGCTTTTTATTTTTAATGTAAATATAAAATAGTAATTTTAATACAGCAAACAATTTGGTACATAAGCAACTTATATAATAACTTAATAATTTGTATAATTAAACATTTTTAATTTTCTTAATGTATCAAACTTTCTTTAATACCATTGTTGTTTAGCAATTTTGTTTACATAAAATAATTTTAAAAAATAAGGTATCAAGTAGTAGGAGGTATTAAGTAGGAGAATATCAAGTCTGGTCTGGCCTTTTTTTTTTAAACAAAGAGACTTTTTTTTTGTAAAAGTAATGATACAATTTAATAAAAATACTTTAGTTACAATAATATACAAAAAACAATTTCAATTATTACTCCATTACATGTTCAATATTCTCCAGAAACCAAAGAACAGAATTGATTTCATAATCAACCTCGTGGGGCAATTGTGTTATTGAATGGTTGTCATCATACACCAAGGCCCTGTGAAATTTGTAAAATTTTAAAATTAATTTATTGGTAAAATCAAAATATTTAACTGAAATTAGTGTATATATAATGAACAAACCTTTTATATGCTTTAATTTGATTTTCATGCAACTAAAGCTGTTATGCAACTAAAAATATACACCATTTTTTATTTAATTCACATTTTCCTAAGATTCATTGTGTAACATGGAATATTTTGTAATTCAGTAAGATTCTGATTTGGAACGTGTAGCATTTGATAAGGTTTAAGTATAGATTAACATATCAGATCCTCATTATGCTTTTTACGATTTATTGATCCATTATCTTTTTAAGATAATTGTTTCCATAAATGATTTGAGCCAAATATTTAAACTATTACAATACATATGATAAAAACAACTTTATTTAGGCTATTCATATTTTTTATTTGAGATTTTATAATAAATATTATATTTAGTGTATATATGATTATTTATTTACCAAAACTCTTTTTAAATCTCACAGTCTCTTATTTTACATTTAAACAATTTTTACAAACATTTAAAAATTATTATTTTTTAAAATTTTGGCTCCAAGAGCCAGTTTCAAAAATTATTTTTCTTTTTAAAAAAAACAAAACATTAGTGCTATAAAAACATTATTTCTAAAAATTTCTTTAAATATATATGTATATGGAATACTACTCAATGGTAGTAATTGTTCTATTAAATATAAAATATTTTGTTTTATTTTTATTTTTCTTCCAAAATTTCTCTTCTCGTTATTTTATCAAAAACTTCATCCTTAATTTCTTTTTTTTTTTTGATCATTCTCATTTTATCTCAACTGAGCTGATGTTTAGTGAGTCAGTCTAAACTACAGCTCAGATTTTTAAAAAATAATGTTTTTATAGAACTAATTTTTTTTAAAAAAGAAAAATAATTTTTGAAATTGCTCTTGTAGAAAATGATAATTTTTAAATGTTTTAAATGTAAAATAAAAGACTGTGAGATTAAAGAGGGTTTGCTATAAATAAATAATCATGCATAGATTAAATATAATAATTACAATATACTAAATTATAACCCATGTACTTCACCTACTAAATGTAAGCCTCGTATCAAGAAAAAGATATAAAAAGTTTATGTCTAAAACATTCACTGTTCCTGTAATTACCATTATTAAAAAAAACAAAAAAACTTTTCACCCCAAAGTTCAAAAATTCCGAATTCGTTACTCTGTGATTTTAATATCTTAAATAGGAAAATAGTATTGAAATAAAACAATTTTAATTATTGAATTAATTATTCTATTGTATGCTTTATTTTCCTGCCGTTCACTAAAGGTTTCACACCTGTTTACAACTTTCTCCAAATCAAAAGATACTACAACTGTTGGAAAGCTAAACTATCCATCTTCCGATCCATATAAATAACTTTAACATGTCACCTTAAAAGGATGAAATAAATAAAAAAATAAAAACTCAATTGTTTTTATTTTATATCTCCAATTCTACTTTTTGTACATTTTATTTTTGAGTCATTTCCTATACTAATTTATAGGGTTCTTAATCCCTGTTAAGTTCAGTGTGGTGGGCAAGTGCAGCCATCACAATTTTTGTGACTTTCAAAAAAAAAAAAAAAAAAAAAAAAAAAAAAATAGAAGGCTTCAACCTAGACAAAATTTGGATCAAAACAGTTTTATTTCCCATTTCTGGATGAAATGTAGTATTTATGAGTTTTTCTAAATGCTGAATATCAACTTTGTTTCTCCATAAAAATTATTAGATCCCACTTTGCTCTTTAAGTCAGTAAAAATTGTTCTAATCTTTTATCCATACTATGGCTGTATACTAAAATAATTTTTTTTTTCTAAACCAGACGGGTATCTAAAGTAAGATAAGATGCACCAATACTGATAAGTTGTCCCGATTCTGTCTGAAAATATGAATAATGCATGTATCACTTACATCATAATTCCAATAACCTACCAACCTTTAAATCTCACCTATTCAATCTCTTCCTATCAATCCAATTCCCAAACAATTGTAAATAGCTTTTTCTTTAAATATGGATATAAATTATTAGTTTGTTTTAAGTATTTTTTTTATTCTTAATTCATTAATGCTAGAAGTTGATTTGTTTATAAATATCTTTTTTATTTCTATTTTTATATTAAATTTTTACAAAACTTTGTGGCTTTAAAGCCCACAGTTATATTATTTTGTATTATTCTGAAGGGACTTGTATATTTATTTGTTTCACACATTACATGGCTGTTTGTAATAGATGGGGACTACATTGGTCAACGAAATATTACATTAATATATTTTCAAGATTATTTTATATTTATAAATTTCCGAACAATACTTGCCATTTCCAATAAAACTGACACTTCCATTTTTTCCTTTGTCATAAATGGCAAGTCCAGCTCACACAAAGAAGATTGAGATTCTTCTGGTATTAATCCATTACATGAAATTACCAATGGTAGAATTCATCTTTCCTTTAAATCATACAGTTGTTTTAATTCTTCTACCAATTCTGTAATTATTTTTTATTTTATTTTTTTCTGCCCCAACCTTGAGCAGATTATCATCTAAAGAAACTCCAATTTCTATAATAGACGCTATTTTCTCTTCTTTGTCAATTATTATAATATCAGGTCTATTGTGGGAGACAGTATGAACCGTAAATGTAGGTTGTTATTACTATTATTATTATTGTAGATAATTGATAAACATATTGGGTCCTCATTAAATATTTTTATAATATTCTATTACAAGGAAGTATTGTTTATTGGCCAATGATTGTGCAAGGATTTGATGGAGATTACTATCAACCACTAGGTTTTTCTCCTTTAAATAATTATTAAATTAAGAGTACCCAACTTGTTAAGGCTGGGTGTGTCCTAGGAGAGTTTCCTCTGACCTGAAGGTCTATCCATGGCTGATGTAACAGAATATGTAATTACCTATCACAGCTGATCCTGAACGAGGATCCAGAGCTCTGGGATAATTTAAGCTAATAAATTATCTACATTAATAAATTGCATATAACATTTTGACAATTGATGAATAAAAATAATAAAGTATTTTTCCTCAACAAAAAGTGCGAAACATCATTATAACTCTAATTAGATTTAATTAGATTAGAAAGATTTGAATTATAATATCATTTTGAAATATTACCACAATGCTTTCTTAAAATTTGAAGACCTTGGAGTGTAATGATATTTGGTTAAAATAATTTAAAAGTGTATGAAATTGCATATATTTGAAAATAGTCCAGTTGTAGGCTTATACCCACTAATATTTTAGATTTTTTATTTTCATAACCGGAACTAGGCAAAAATTTCTCTGTATTAGAGATAATACTGTAATGTACCCCTTTATTGGAAGTGAGTAAAAAGGGTTTAATAAATTAATGTTGACAATTAAAAGGCATGCTAATTTAGTTCTACTAGTTCAGGGAAAATAAAATGGCTGCTCTGTAGTTTTCCCAGAAAGGAAAATCCCAAAGAAAAGAAGGGACAAAGGATTTTTGTTTTGGCAAGCAGTTGTGTGGTTGTAGTGAAGAGAGAATAGGAAAAGGGATCCTCTAGGAAAAGGGATAGGGGGGCTCTAATGGGTAAAACCCAGTAATAGTATTACCATCTTAGAATATTTAGTGCAACAAAGGAAGAAACAGTATCTATAGCAAAAAAGTTAGCTTGCCAATCCATATTTAACAGTGTTTAGTATAGTTAATTTTAGTTTGTCTGAGTGTTTTGATTTGATTATCAGTAACCCATACCTGAGATAGAATAATTGTAAATTTCAGTTTATTATATTAATATTCTTATATTTTTGTTTTTCATTTAACAACCTCTTATTTATTTTGGAAGTATCCCAATAGTATTAAAGTGAGCTCCCGAGGTTATATTATTATTTGTAAAATATAAGAGAGATGTTAGAGTACGTATAAGTGGATGGTAACATTAATGTGTTTTTTAGGACTTAACAGTTAAAATGATAATACTGACTACAAGTTTATCACATATACATAAATCAATAAAAATACCATATCATAGTAAATTTAAATACCAACCTTGTCTTTACACCTTTTATTTTGAGCTGTCGGTAATAACAAAGACTTTGGTGAATAGGTGCCCGCACATCCTTTTTTCCAAGGAGGAATAGAACTGGTACAGTCATGGATGGTGCATAAATGATAGGTGATTTAGACATCAGTGCCTCAAACATCTTTGCTGTAAGTTGGAGTGTTGGTTCAAAACTAAAGCCTGCTTCAACTAATGGCCTGTGTGTATTATTGATAACATTAGTTTTAACATTTTACAATTGAAATCAAACATCACCATGATCTGTCCGTAACTTTTTAAAAATACAGAATGTTAACTGACAATAGTGTTAATTGTTTCCAGAACAATTGTACATGTAATTAAAATGTTTTTTCAAGATGGAATTTAATTCTATAAGTATACATTGTTGGTCAGTATGCGCATTCGACTTGATACTGAGAAAATAAAAAGTTCCAAATCCACCACATGTAAATTCCTCAATGAATAAATTGAGGGAAAAAATTACAATAAATACCATGAAATAATCATAGTATGATTAAGAATAATATATTTAATTATTTTGGTCTAAATTTTGAAGATATCTATAATTATTATGTAACATTTTTAAGCTTAATATTTAATTGTTTTATATAAAACAAAACAGGTATTTAATTCAACTTTCAGGATTTAGCTACATCTTCAGGGATTTATTACTAAGTTTATATTTTCCTTTACACTATATTTTTATTTAATTTTTTACCGTATTAATGAATACATATTTACATTAAGTTTAAAAAAAGTATAGCTGTTTTGGCCATTATTTGAGTTTATTTGCTCATTAATTCATTTTTATAATAATTTAAATTAGTTACTAAATTATAATACTTGCTAAGTTAGTCGTACCCATCAAAAGATTAAGTTTATTGTTAATATTATTTATGATTTATAATTTTTCTGTTGGTGAGAAAGCAAAACCTGATTGCTGTCAAGGGACTCTTGTTTGTATAGATATCTTTATAAATATAAGGATATCTTTAGCTTAGTGACTTGTAGAAATTCATTTAGATGTTGCTGTTTAACTGTAATTGTTGCTTGCCAATTTGAAATGACCATTATGGTAAATGACAAAAACAAGGCAAGAACTGATTTTGATTTCAAAAAGATTTATAAAATTACTAAAAAAATTAAAAATACTTTGAAAGGAACAAATACTAACCAGTCAGGAATGTCGGACTCAAGGAATGTTGCTAGGTCACAAGGAGGATTTAGAGCCACACAACTTTTGTAAAAACTCTACAAAATAATTTGTACATAACTGTTATTATTTTTTATTGTTTTTGAAATTAATATGTATATATGATTAAAAATAGTTGAGACAATTTATAAAAATATATTTATAAAATATTACTAAACATTTACATTAATTCTACTTCACAGAATCTTAAACATGGTTGTTACTATAACGATACTCATTTTGTCATACTCACACCAGCCCTAAAGAAGGCTTCTAACTTAGACTGAAATGTAGGCACAAAATTATATATATATTGTTTTTGTGGGTATTTCATCCCCAACTAACGTCCCAAGCATACTAAATTTAATATTGTATTTACTATAGAGTGGTAAAATTTATATTTTAAAATACTTTACTCACTGGATACCGTCCAGCCATATGAAGTGACAGAAAGCCCCCATAGGATCCACCAAACAGAAGACATTTGTCAGGCGAAAGCTGGGTTGGAAACATCTTGAGGACAGCCTCTGCAGCCTGTTGAGTGTCTCTGACGTCAGTCTTGCCAACTTTACCTAGAAGGAAGTTGACTGAGGCTTGGCCAGCACCAACTGTACCTCGGATGTTTGTCAATACCATTCCAAAACCTTTAAATAACAGCAACATATTAAATTAATTAGATCTAGTCAAAGACAATACCTAGTTAGCACGTTTTGTGAAAACCAACAAAAGAAAAACTTTCATGTGAGGCTATGATCAATATTTAAGCAGTATTCAAACTAATTGAGTGCAATTGATTATTACCCCAAATAATCATACTTGCTAATATTAATATAAATACCCCATTAATTTTTTGCAGCATGAAATATTCAAAAATCGATGTATTTAAATTTTGTACATTTTCATAATATTTGGATAAAACAATTTTATTTAAATAATTTTTTATGTCATTAAGAAGTATTTTGTGCAGTACCCCTTGGCTCAGGAAAATCCTGTACGATCTAAAAGGCAAGCAAGAGGAGAATAAAAAAAATTATAATAATGCTGGTTTGGAAGCTAACAGCTTGATGTCAATCCAGATATAAGCCCGTATATAATCTTCTTTATTTGGTATCAGCTGATATCTACTTCGGAGAAAATTTCAGTGTTTTCGTTTGAGGCATTGAGAAGTTAACAAAGTGTACAAATATTGTCAACCTTGCGTATTTAGAGACAGCATTTTTAGGTATTTAAATAGAAAATACCCAAGGTAGTAAATTACAATGAATTGAAAGATAGAAACATTCCATATTGATAAGACATTAATAAAACATTTGTAATTGGTCAGTCCAAATAATATGAAAACATCCTTACATTGTAGTTAATTAACAGCCACATTGCAAATTCCTGTATCGTCCAAAACTAAAAATATTTACTTTTTTCTGGGAAGTTGTCTATTATTTGGCAATAATATTTAGAAGACAGAAAAACTAGAATTTTCAAAGTTATGAAGATGATTTTCTGTTCAATTTTTATAGCAGTTTTAAGACAGCACTACTTTATAAGTAATATTCTTGATTAGCATTTTGAAAATGTCAGGAGCCATGATTGACCAAAAAACCTCAAAACTGCAATTTCAAATTATTCTTATTTCAAATTTCAAAGCATAGCTGCAGTATTGTTTTACACATGAAAACTATTACTTACCAAGAGATGCGAGAAAATTGGCAAAAATAATAAATCCATTAGTAAAAGCAGAATGTGGTCCTCCATGAGACCACACGACCAAAGGAGCATTAATGACATCGTCAGGAACCATGTATATTGCAGAAAATTTGCCTAAAAAATAATATAAACTACTAAAATACATTCTTCAGCATATGAATTTATTTTGAAAAAAATATTTCATGGTTACTATGATATATAGAAATGAAACTGTGCCAGTACCAAAGTTTCTTCAGGAGGGAAAAGTCCACAATAGACCGAATATTCCTCCTCTAAACGATTCTCAAAAGAAGGAATGATTATAACATGAAGACACACTATTTATTTATTGACTTTGAAGCAGCCTATGATATAAATAACCGCATAGAATTATTCCTTTACAGTCCAGATATGCTGATAAAGCTGGTCAGGCTCCAATGTTTGATAAAAATCAATTGATGAAGGCCAGCTTTAAGTTAAACAAAGAATTGTGTCAGGATGATCTAGCCTACGTCTTCTTTAGCATAGCACTTGATAAAGCTGTTATAGATTTGGGCATTCCCCACAACAACCTCATAAATAATTGTTAGTACATAAATAATTGTTGTATCAAAGAAAAATCAGTATGATATGCTAACTCTTATTTATGGTCATTTCTTGGACAAGTTTATGTAAAGAGTGTTGCTATATATTTGGAATTTTCATGATGGACCTTAATTTTATTTGAATGTACAGTATTGAATGAGCTTGAAAATTATGAACTTAATTTATTTGCTATTTAATTTTTAAATATGAACTCCTAACCCAAGATTTGCTTACATCTGCCAACTGTGCGATGGGATAGTACAATTTGAGTTGAGTCTTTGTTGGAATAGGTTTGTGTTGTAATATTGGTAGTTCTGGTTATTAATACTTTCTAGAGATATTGTGTTTGCTGTTATCAAAGTCTGTAAAGTTAAAACTGCATTGCTGATTATCAGTAGTCAATTTACTGTTTGATTTATTGGTATCAATGAATAAAAGTTTTATATAGAATTTAAAATAAAAAAATATATCAAGTTAATATTCCAATAATTTATTTTGCTTTTGTTTGTAGTATAGTATTTCAATATTTATTTATTTATTCTTGGCGCTACGGTCCTGTAAGAACCTGGGCCTCTCTTATTATCCTTCGCCACTCTCCTCTATCCCGAGCGAGCATTCTCCATCTTCAAATTCCCATCCTTTTCAGGCTGTCATCTACCTGGTCCAGCCATCTCAGGCATGGTCTTCCCCTTCCACGTTTTCCAGCAGGCCGATCCTCCAGCAAGCATTTGGGAATCGCGTCTCGGGGCATACGCGCCACATGGCCCAACCATCTGATCTGGTTTCCCCTCACAATTGAGACCAAATCCGACCTTGCATACTTTTCATATAGTTCCTTATTAGTGCGAATTCTCCATTGTCCCTGTTCGCACACCGGGCGATAGATTCTGCGGAGAACCCTTCTCTCCCATGCGAGTAGCCTTTTGTAAAATTGTAGAAAAGGAAGTAAAATTAGATTAAACAATATATTTTTCCTGTTTCAAAAATCTGAAAATAAAACAATTAATTATACTAATGATTAACCAAACTGTTAATTTCTATGATGAAAGTAAAAATTACTCACTAGCGCTTTCTACTTCACAATTTGCATCCAGCCTGAGAATGCCAGTTTTAAAATTACCAATGGATTCTTGCTCCAACAATGTTATCCAATTAATAGCATCTGTATTAGAAATTTTACCCAATAACAGTGAAGGAGGTGTACCCAAAGAGCTGCGGTAGCACAACACAAAATCCTTGCAGATATCAATAAAGCCGAAGTTAAAACTGTCATTCGAGTCATCACTGACTGCCCTGATGGTTTTGGTCACTGCCAAGAAAGATATAACAATTAGTTAAGACACTATTATTTGATTTCTTATTACAAAAAAAATATTCTTAAACGCATATAAAAATAATTATATGTATCATTTTTCTTAATTGATCTTCAATACACTTTATTTCTGCTTCTACTTCCACTTTCCCCACAGATCAAAAATAAAAACCAATGGTGTTTATAGTTTGGTAAACTTAGGAGGACTTACTGAGAAATACAGGGACATATTACATAATGAAGAGGGAGATAAACCATTCTCGAAACATAAAAATAATAAAAAACTATATACACTATTGTTTTTTAATGGCGGAGAAATAATTGACTGTAGATAATATGGTTGGGGAAGTTGGTTGGAGTTGCAGTCACAGAGAAAAATCAAAACAATTGTTTAATGTTGGCCATAGTGGGGGAAAAAATAACAGAAGATATATTTATATATTAATTCAAATAATTGAATGTTCTTAATTAGTCATTTTCTTTCATGAATGATTAGTCATGTTCTTAAAGTACCTTTTTTCAAGTATTTTCTGTTTTATTAAGTATTACAGTTTAATAAAATATGCTTGACAATGCTATGAATGGATGGAAATATTATTAATTAATGCACATTTTTACTGGTAAATAAAAATATTTATTTTAAGTATGAGAGGCAAAATTGAAATTAGAAAGAGAAAAAATATATAAATTTTTGAAATTTTAATGTAATCAGATACTAAGGTTTTTCAGAAAGTCCTACTAATATAATAATGGTTGACATTGTTTTTTTATTTTATTTTTTAATATTTCTAACTGCATTTCTTTACCCCTATTTTACACCTTAATCAACATAACATAATTCTCTATGCAGATTTTTAAAATAATTTCAAATAAAAATATATGAAATGGAAAATGAATTTTCCAAAGTGGTACTATTTTTGTGGAGCTATTTGTAAATTATACTCAATTTGGGATTTATAGAAATACATATGAACTTTTGGAAGTCTAATACCTATATTCACTAGGTAAGGTTTGATGCTTGCTCTCTGAACTGTATTGATAATTAAGGTCTCATTATCAGGCAGCCAACACCTTGGTTGCAGAGTTTTACTGTAGAACCCATAGAACTGTTGGCCATCACTAATAGTAATAGAATCTTTGACAATATCTACAATGATGGTACTCTGCAATATGAAAATAGTCGTTATTCTATATAGATACACAAAAAATTACTTATAGAAATTATTGTTTATCCAAGTAAACATTTTTCTGCACAGATCAATCAGCCAACTTTGAAAAAAAATGTTTGTTTGGACAACAATAGAAGCATAAATTATATATATATATATATAAATTATTTGGAGAAGAAAAAAAAAAACCTATAAGTAAGTTTATATTGAGTTAAGAGAAGTGCGTAAATAACACCAACACAACCAATATGACACATTATAGCACAGAATCTGTGAGGTACAAAAATAAATATACTGAAAAATATTTTAGTCAAATGACAAAAAAAAAATGTTTATTTATTCTTAATGATAATAATAAAAGGCTTAGCGAACCAGAAGGTTTGATGACGACGTCACCAATCGCTTAGTTTATCTATTCATAGACAGCTTAATTATATCTGAATGTTGTGAGATTACAAAGTACCTGGAGGTTTAGGATAAAATTGGTTATTTTTTCTGGAGAGATCAGGGAAGGGAAACTAGGAAAAATGTTACATTGGGTGCAGTCATACTTTGCCTCACCACTAGTTAAGAGCTAGTTGAAGGGTATAAAATGATGCTATATATATTAATAACTATATTTTTAATATTTTTTAATAAGTTGTTTTTATTATTGTTTCTATTGAATAGTTTTAAGCATTTTAATACTCCATATAAGATAGATGTATAAAGAGAGAGAAGGGTATACACCATAAACAGAGTAATACTACTCTCAGTTGCTAAAGATTAAGAAGCTGTAGATGATGGTAAAAAAACCTTCTCTGCTATGCATTCCACATCTGTTCAAAGGGATTAAGATCTGGAGACGATATGGGAAGGGGTAGATATCAAATATCCAGATTTTCAAGATATTGATGAACAACTTTTTCCTTATTAGGTCGCGTATTGTCATCAAGAAAATGGGAATCTGTGTCTATTATGGCCTGGTTTGAGGAATGTACTTCTCTATACTTTCGTTAACATAACGAGCTGCAATGAGATTAACCTTCCACAATATGGAGTAGAGTCCATCGTCTAGACTAGATGACCTAGTCTAGTCCCTTAGTACACTCCCTCCTATAAACTACATTGAAGAAAGCACAAACTATTCGCAGAAGACTCTTTGGCACGTTCAACCACTATAAATACAGAAACGTGACTGGTATGTGAACATAACAGCATTAAAATTTATATCCTCATCTAGGTGCTAACTACACTATGATCTGTGGAGTTGCTGGTAATGAACTGTTGTTGCAAGTCGTCTTAAAGGGGCATAAAATGTTCCAACTCCTCACAAACAATTACGAATGGTTTGAGGTAATATGGACCTTGACAGAACATTAGGCACTTCATTTAGGCTATGTAGGGCACTTTTTTTTTGGGGGGGGGGTCCTCCTCTTCCTCGCCGTTAAGGCTATACAGGTTTTTTCCGGGTCAGGGGGTGTGGGCGGGAATTTAAAAGACTCCCTCAGCACCGGGACGCGTACTCGTGACTATTTTTATATCATTAGATTCATATATCAGGTTGCCAGGCAACGGCGGTGCTGTGCACATGCTTTAGCCCATTCGGCCACCCCGCCCACTGGCTATGTAGGGCACTATGAAAAGGGTTGCTTCTTGTAGTAATAACAATATTTCTTTCATTTCTTGGTGTCATTATGCACTGATACTCACTAACAAGTCTCCTATTGGTACTTCCAGTTTCACTAAATCTGTCTAAAACCTGGAAGACCACTATCTGGAAGAAGCCAACTGCATTGGCGATATCCACTAGCCGTTGCCCTTGACCACTCATTCTCATGATAATATTGGGAACTTCTGGTTCAAAATGATATATTTTCATCGTTAAACAGAATATTGCTGGATTAAACTTGAGAAAAGTCTAAAACAATTGTTGGTTTATACTATGACTATTCTTCATACTATGACTATCCTTTTGTTAATAATTTATTAAAAATAAAGAATACTTGGTATTTACTTTTTATGTTTACCAATAAAGTAGAAGAATCACTAACAAAAAAAAAAAAAGAAAAAGAAAATGATATTTTAATTAAAATAAAAATATCCCTATTCATTTTTGGGCAGTATATGTATACCTTTTCTGTTTTCCAGTCATAACTGACCAATCTATGACATGTATGATGTGGACCTCCCACTTCTCGTTCTAACCAAATCAAAAATTTCATGTCAGGAGAGAATTTTGGGCATCTTACAGCTTGATTGTCTCTGCTTAGTTTACCTGAAATCAGTAAAATTATATTTAAAAAACAATATAATAGTAAACAGTAGAAATAAATTGAATAATTTCATAAGCAAAAAAGTTATTTCAATTTTATTAACTAACATACTATGCTACTGCCACAATGATGTATTTAGAAAGTACACGTAGAAAATCATATATTGTTCCTAAGACCTTAAACCTACTCACATTCATCATATTTTAAGAGGCTATCTAAAGGCTCTACTCAGAGAACACAGGAAGACTGGGAGAGGACACCTTTCTTGGCGATAGTAATATTTTATAAAGATTAGACAAAAAAATTGTACAAATGTTCAAGATTGGAGATTATCATAAACTATTTGTTCAGGATTACATTAAGTAGTCCATTCAAAAGAGGCCATAAACAATAAAAATATATTTTTAATTGATAATAAAATAGAAAAATGTTAATTGCAATTTTTGAACAAAATAATAATGTAAAGTATTACTTACGGTAACTACCATCCGTTTTAATGTGAATAATCCAAGAAAGTCTGTGGGTACAAAACATATTTCCAAATCGCCAAGGTACATTAGACCAAGCAACTGCTACAACTCCACCATCTGGAGCCCAAACAGCCTGCCCGAAGCTATGATCCTCTGGGCAACCAGCAGCAAGACTAATTGACTCTTGCTCCAAATCACAAATATAGGGCAATGGAGTGCACTTACCAGACATTTGTTCACCCCAATCCTCGACCAAATCATATTCACACCCCTGCAAATGATAAAAAAAAAAATTCATTTTAAAATAAAACACAATGTCATAGCACCTATACAGGAGTACGCACGCATATTTTTTATTTATTTTTTCCCTAATCACAAAAATAACCTAAAACTGTATCAAATCAAAAGTTGATATTTTTCTATTAAACGTTTATTTAAATCCTAGAAAAAAAATTCAACATCAGTGATTTTTTAAATTAAAGCTTGTTTATGAATATATTGATAAATCTGTTGTATTAATTCAAGGAACTTCAGTAGTAGAATCTGAAAAATGATTTTTACAATTTTATTGTTTTTATCTATGGTGCGATATTATAGCTACCATATCTATCTTTTCTTCAATAAGTAATATTTTAAAAAGTTAATGTTTTTAAATGTTAATTTAAATTAAATACTTTTTTTGTATCTTCATCAATTTTGCCAGAACATTTCAGAGGAAGAAATGGTTCAACTTTTGGAAGCCTTTTTTCAGCTACATACATTAGTTTTGTTTCACAGGTTGACCATTGTAAACTTGAAAATTCCACTGAAAATAATTATTTTATACCATTAATAAAATTAGATTTAACCAAAAACACATTTAAAAGTTTAAAAAAACTATATGTATTTTCTCAACTGTTAAATAATAGCTTTTAAGTATCCTGAGTTTCAGTAAATAATTATATTTCTAAACTTTATTGTTTTAAAATTCATGCCCTACAGTGAAATGGTTATTATACTAAGACTAACAATTAGTACACACTGTAATTATTGAGATATTATAGCACAAGGAAACTAGAGATAAAGTTGTATTTATAATGACTGAGAATTATGAATACAAATTTCAAATTCAACTAGTAATGTGCAAATTGAGTGAGAGAAATGGAGAGTGATTGGATAGCTTATGATAAGATATATATATATATATCGACTTTCTTTTTCTCTTTTTTTTTTTTTTTTTTTTTCTGTTTCAACAGAAACAGATTTTACTGTTAAGAAGAATATACATTTATTTTTTCTGTATTTTTTATTTTTTCTAAAAGGGTTTATTTATGTTTTAACATCGTAAATAGTTTTAAGTATCTTAGTATGGTTTCAAGAGTTTTTTATATAGATTTTTATATTTTATTCTGTATATAGTATGTATAACCAATATTTTTTTTCTTTTCTTTTCTTTAATGACCTATCATTATTTTAATTTGTTATGTTTGTTTTTATCTGGCCAGATGTAAAATTTTAATTTCTGTACTTTTTTGTTATTCTGAAGGGACTTCGTCCCAGAATAAAATTATTTTTCTATTCTATTCTATTCTATATATATATATATATATATATATATATATATATATATATATATATATATATATATATATATATATATATATATGCATGTATATATATATAATTTCTGAAAATAATTTACATACACAGCGGTGCCCAGAAGAAGATGACATGGCGCAAGTTGCACCATAAAATTTTTTGAGAGAGGCACATTTTTATGGGATGATGAATTTTTAGAGAGAACCATATTTCTGTAGAGGTTTCAATTTGGAGGAACTCTTACTAGGAAGTAAGAGAAAAACATGGAAAAGATCAAAAGTATAAATTTGTATGAATTACAATTTTTATGCTTCAAATTTTAATTTCTTGATTTCTAAGAAGTGGAGAAGAACAATAAAATATCTTGGATGGGAGGGAGACATGTTAGGAGGGATGGGATCCCCTTCTTGATGATTAAGGGATGGAGAAACATATACTTCTTAAATAAATAATCTCAAAAGTTAAAAATATATGTATGTTCTATCTTACTATCAGTAGCAACATCTCCATGAATATTATAATTAGCCAAATCAAAGATTTTCCAGAGAAAGTTTTCCTTCCAGATTTCTAAATGTTGTTTCTTTGGAGTGTTTACTGAAGCTGGTATTTGTCTAAATAAAGCTCGATATGAACCGGATGGTGAATATGATATCAACAGTCTAGAAAGAATGATGTATTTTAAGAAACATTTGAACATTTTTTTTTTTTAAATTATGTAATCATGAAACCTTTTAGTGTTTTATTTGTAGAATATAAAACACCATTATATATTGTATTAAAAAGTTGACATAATAAAGATTAGTGTCAGCAAAAACTGATTATTATTATTTTTTTTTTTTTTGTTAAGTGGCTTCATCTTTGTTTCTGTAAATATCATCAAATTCTTAAATATTAGAAAAGGAAAATAAACTAATATCATTCATGATAAAATTCTTGTCTCACTCAGAAGAAATGTCTGTTGATGTTAACGTTTGGATGTTCTTTGTTTCATAATTTACAAATTGTGTCAATTCAGAGCGAATAGCCACCTTTCTTTCAATATTCCGCTGCGACCAGGATGATTTTATAGCTAAATTAGGTCCAGCAATGTTTAAAATAAACCCTGATACTGGTAATGAGCATTTCTTAATAACATTTTTATATAGTGCAAGGATTTTATCCATCTGAAAGGGAATATAAAATAATCATAATTTGTTGGATTTCATTTAATTTGTTGAATTAAAATAAAAAAATAAGATTATTTAACTATTGATTATAATAATAAAATGGTTTTATATTAATATACATATACCCACTCAGGTATACCACCATTTATCATGAGAAAAAAAATGTGATCTACCTTCACATGGCTCTTTTTTGTAGTATTGTTTGAGTTTGTGGGGCCTTCCATGTTCAAATGTTCTTTCAAAGTAGGTCTAGTTCTTCACTTTACAAAGAAACATAAAGTACTAAATTATTAAATAATAATAAGCCTTGGACAAGAGATAATGAGTAAAGGATGGGATAGGGAAAATAAAAAAGATAATCAATTTTAATTACAGTAAAATCAACAAGTATTCAAACATCTGAATAAATATGGTGTGTCCTTGATTTACTTAATTTTACTATTTTTGTTTGTGTAGCTTTATTTATCAACTAATTAGTGCAGTAAACTAGTTGAACAATATTTTGTAGAGAAAAAAAAAATTGTGTGAGCTCATATTGAAAGGATGAATTAAATATTAAAATGATTTTATTGATAATAAGTCTAGAACTTAGCTTAGTGTTTGAAAGCTTAAAATTAAAGAAAACTCCAATAAATTGTATAGATTTTTTTTTAACTGAATAAATATATTGTTGAATTAAAGAAATATATAAATTGCGGTATTAAATATAAAAGATTTCACCACTTTTCGGAAATTTTAGTTTGAATAGTTTCATCTGCCTATTTTAGAATGTTCTGAAATATAATTTGATCTACAAACAGCAAATTTATCGTGAATTTCTTGTTGTATAAATTTGGAAGAAGACTCAGGGTTCTTGATTGTTGAAAAAGTACAGTGATGAAGAGCTTAGTTAAAAGCTGTAGGGTCTATTTCAGTTTCCAGCCTGTGAACTTTGAAGAATTCTTCAGTAAAGATTTTTTGCCAGACTTGTTTCCCTCCACTCCTGGATCAGTGTTTGACATAAATGATGCCCCTGCTACTCTTGTGATACAGAGGTGTGTACTTATAATTTTCATAAAGAAGTATAGTTAGAGGAAATGAATGGAGCTACCCATATGTGTATGGCTTACAGAGGGAGGCACCAATATGCTAAAATTATTTTTAAAAAAAATTATTGAATGATTTAAGAGTGAGCTAACTGTGGGATTGAGGGAGTCTGGGGCCTGATAATCTGTAATTGAGGAGAGAGGCGAGGGAGCAGCAATCTTTAATTCAGGATGTTGACTTAGCTATACTACTGTCCAGGATACGAAGTAGGCGAGTGAAACTTCAAAACTTTCTCAGTGTTTAACAAATCTCTTACTTCATTTGACTATCTATTCCTTTTTTGTTGTTTCACCTGTTTTATTTTTTCTCTTTATTTTATGAAAGTTTATATTTATATTGAAATATACATTAAACATATTGCCTGAATCTGGCATCTCTCATCCCAAGACTAGGGTCAAGTCTAGGCCTCCTCCTATGTGTTCATATATATATACAACAACATTATTTTTTTCATATTATATTGTAAAATAATTATTATTTTCGGGAGTTAGGTCATTTAATTTACAATACTAATAAACTACATAAATTTGGAGTTTATTTAACATTTCGATCCCTTCTTTTCTTATACATAGAATAGGATCTCTTCAGAGCTGGAAAAAACAAATAGCCATCATTCGCACAAAAACACAAGTTCCTATATCCCGTATCTAACAATTCCTAATTTTTCCTATCTTCTTACCGATATATATATATATGTATACATATTTTGTTATAGAGTTTGCAATTTAAGGTTGGCTCATTAATACACATTCATTTGTTGTTGATGATATTACAATTTAAATAATGTTATTGTTTACATGATGTTTAATTTGAATAATTTAATTATAGGGAATGTGTACATATTATGATCATTGATGTTTTGTTAGTAAGGGATGCATATTTCTATTGTTTGTTCTTTGTTGGGCTTTATACTGGAGGGCTGTACTGAGGCTGTCGGTGTGCCCCTGGCTTGTTGTATTGAAGCTTGATAAGAAAGAAGGAAAAATTAGAAATTGTTAGTTACGGCATATAGAAACTTGTTAATTTTGTGCCAATGATATCTGTTTGTTTTTTCCAGCTCTGAAGAGTATCGCATTCTGTGTATGAAAAAAGAAGGAATCGAAACATTAACAAATAAAAAGAACAAACTCCAAATGTATGTAGTTTATTAATATTGTACTTTTGTGAAATTATTTTTGATATTTAATTGAGTTTGTGTTATTATCAAGCACTTGATGTTTTTTCAATGCGTTTATTTTTGAAATTTATATGTATTTAAATTGATTACAATTCGTTAATATAAAGAGATTTTGTATTTTTCCCTGTAAGAAAGAGTCTAGGACCCTAAGCCAATAAATAATCAATCAATCAATTGATTTTATTTAATTCAATTTAATTTTGTATATTTAAATTCAATTTAATATTTTATTTTTACCTGATTTGATTTATTCTAGTTTAGTTTTCAGACAAGATTCATTCTAGACAGACAAGGTTTTAGTTTTTTGTTATTTGGATCTATGTATGCTTGTAATAAAGAAATATATAACTTTGGATTTAAAACATTCAAATACCATGCTGTACAACAAATGACCTATTACTTAAACAAGCTATTTTTCTAAATCTCCAATAACAAATAAACAAGATAAGATATGCCCATCAAAAGAAGGTGAGTGAAGTCAACCTCCAGAAAAATTTATCCATCGGAAAAAAATTTATATTGGATGAATCAACTATTCTGTTGGGGGAAATTAAAAACAAAGAATCATTAGAAAAAACATTTCAGGGAAAATATTGGCTGAAATATTATGAATCAATATCAATGAAAAGTATTTTGAAGTTAAAGAAGAGGAGAAAAGACCAAAGGTTTATGAGGTTAAAGATGTAATTGGTCAGTTAAAGAATAATGTGGGGCCTAGATTAGCAATATCAAGTTAAGATGCCAACAAATATTTGATTATATCGGTGCTGAAAGTTTTATTAAGAAAGACTATCAGATATTTGTGCTTTGGGGATGTTACGGTCAAATACCGTCTCTTTTTGTTTTATATGCAAGACATGCAGTAGAGTTGAAAAAAAGAAAATAAAGGTAAATATTGTAGTAAAATTCCATCTATAAAGTCTTCTCCATTATCACATTTAAAGATTCCATCAATAAATGGAAAAGTAAGTAGAAAATACTGAAGTGACTCAAACATAGGAAGATTCTTTCCATACAAGATACAGTAAAGGAACAATGAATAAATTATGATGTATAAATTTATAAGTTCTCATCAGTATTATTCAAAGGAAGATTTTTGTACTTGAAGATTTTCCAACAAAGGCATTAAGCTTATTCTATTAAGAAAGTACTGGGGAGTGAATTTCAAAAGAATGGTGTGTAAACATATTAAAGATAGAAAAATAGAGATTGATTAATTTTAATTTTAGCAGTCCTGTGTATTTGGTTGTGGTGGGATCATGTCTACCAGAACATGATGATCTAATTTTTGTCATTGAGTGCAAAATGGTCTTCATAGATCCTGGAACTGTTGTGACCAAAACTTATATAAAAATGATTTTTTACAATTCAATATATTCTTATAGTAGAATCTTTGTTGAAAAGTAGCACATTCCACCACTAGTAAACCAAACATACTTTAATTAACCAGCTTCCCTCTTGTTCACAAGTCATTACAGACATCTGTTATTGCGAGTAATATTTTCACCATAATATATTCATACATTATTAAGTATGCAATAAAAATACTACATAAAGATGTTAAATAATAATAATTAAATATATATTATGCCATTTATATAAAAAATAAAAGTAAAAACATGGTCAATCTCATCTCACCACTCTCTCAATGGATCTTTATATTTGTTTGGAGATCTCCAAGAAACATTTGCAATGATGACCTCTCTCAACTTTCTCAAAACACTGATAATTTATTATATCTAAAGGATCATGAATTTTTTAATAACAAATCAAATGGGTGAATAATTTTTTTTTTCATACAGTAAAACCATTTTTTAATCATAAGTACAAACTTTGGTTTCAAATAACTTATAAATTAGCATAAATACATACAATTTTTATATACAGCTCCATTGACTAAAATTAATGATCATACGATGTTTTCATTAGATTAACACCATTAAGTACTTAATAACATAAACAAATCAAAACAAAAATATATATGTGAACCACAACTTATGTATGATATTATCACATACTTTAAAATAATTTAATAATACATCACTATTCAACAATTTCTAAACATCCAACTATCACATTTCTTATTCATAGTTTTTATTTTAAAACATTTAATTCATGGTATAAAGTTGTAAACTATGAATATAACAATTATATTTTTTTATTGCCATTTGACAACATTTTTAATTTTTTTTGTGCAATTTTTCAGTAAAATTGCTAAATTTAACAAATAATCACATGATAAAACTGTAACCATAAAGCTCGAACAATGTAATGATTATGACTTTAAAGTAATAACAGTTAAATAATACCAGTACTGTACATATAGCTTAAAATAATTGTTACCATATTACTTTTATAAAATATATAAACCTAAATATGTATCCATTATATCTGTTTTGGTGAATTTCCTGTTATCTCTTTGGTACCTTTTATAATCAATATTTGATTCATCAAAACATTATAAATATTGATTAAATAATTTGTTCAAATATAATAATTAAACAGTGAACCCTGCAGCTGAGTGGGCAACTCTGTTGTCTGGAGGTGGCCTATGGCAGCAGCCCGAAGTAATAACCCCAATAAGAGAGCAACAAACAATCAAGATGGAAACACCACAAACTGCTCCTCCAAGTGTGTCCAGTAAAGCATAACTCTCATCATTCAGTGCGTAGATTGTACCTCCTAGGCATGCGGTGTTTAATAAGCTGAATGTTCCCAAAAGAATGTAACCTAAGACACATAACAAACTATATTGTAAAAATATACAAGGAATTGAAAAGATAATTAATAATAAAAGAATTGATAATCAAAAGAAAGACTTGTATAACTGTAATTGTAAAATTACCTGTTAGATAATTCCGGTGAGGCAGCCATTTCCATTTATTAGTTCGCCAACTAAGGAATCCCAACACAAGTGAGGTAAAACCAGCTATGGCACCAAAGTTCAGAAAATATTTTCTACCTCCCTAAAAAAGTTAAATTTATGATATAATTTGAAGTAAGCTGTCATACTGATAATTCATCCACTGATAATTGGATTCTCATTTTATAAAATATTTTGGTTTTGAATATCCAAAATTTTTAAATTTTATTTATTTATTTTTACAAATAAATATTCTTTATTTATTAATATTTTATATTTTCTTATTTAAAGTTGTTTTAATTTATATTGTTCTAAGATATAATATTAAAAAAAAAAAAAGATTAACCTAGAGGGTTTATTTTTTTTATTTATTTTTTTTATAATTTAAGTCCTTAGTAGACTAAGGACTTAAATTTATTTAATTAAAATCATGCAGTTCTGTTTGATTAGTTTTTAAACAAATATTATGAAGCTACATAAATAACATTCTATCAGTTGAAATTTCTATCTTTTGAATAAATATATTGTTCAATAATTGCCAATATTTTTCTTGTGGTTAACTGGATAATTAACTATAGCATGTTTGAGGATTATCCCATTTTAATATCAGTCAAAATAAAAGATTTGATGAGATAAAAAAAAAGTTATTTGCAATTGTTCTGCTCTAAAGGTACAAGTATTTCTATGCCAATTTTGCTATAAGTGTGGCTATAGCTTAAGGCTAACACAACATTTAATTGTAGGTAAAATAATTTGATAATTTTATATAAATTTTATATAGCAATTTTATATAAATTAATCTCGATTAAGTATATAGATATAGAATTGCACTATTTAGTAAGGATTAATAATAAAAAAAAAACAATAGCAATAAATATAAATAGACAATTCAGTCAAAAAACATGAAAATTATAACAAAAATTGTAAAAAATAAAATAAAATAAAGAGATCACAAAATAATTACCAATAAAATTTGTGAAGCTTTTAGAATGTTTTCATATTAATTTAAATTTTAAAACACATTCAGTCATAGTAAAAATATTCGTTTTAACCTTCGTAAATTTTTTAATACTTACTACTGCCAATATGTAGAAGGCAAGGATTACAGAAGCTGCTCCAGAAGTGAGGAATATAAAACCAACACAGCACAACATTTCAACTGGCATGTGTATTACTGGTAGGTTTGCCCAACTGGCTCTGCTGGGACTCTTGTATGTCTCAGGAGGTGTGCCTCCAGATCTAGGTGGAGTTCTGGTTAGTAGAGGAACAGCACTACCATAGTGCAAAGTCCTAGGAGTGATAACCTAAAATAAAGAATAAGATAAAGATTAATTATGTTGACCTTGTTTTAATTGTATTCCATAACATAATATAATAGAACCAAATTGGTATGTGACAATATAACAGCATTGGTTTAAAATCAATACTGGTAGGCAATAGAGGTAGGGCTAAAAGAAACAGCAATGGAATTAAGATTTATTCTGAAGAATCAAAAAATAAAGAGGTGGTTCACAGGATATTGAAAAAACATGATGGAGGAGAAAAGAAGAAAAGTGAAAGTCCTCTGCCTAGTCAAAACTGATCCAAAAAGAAAAACTACCCAGATGCCAGGAAAAAGCAAACCAATTGGAGGTGGAGGCCTGGGGCAGACCGCTTCCCTCAGGATACCTGAGGTACATTCCTATACTACATTCCTTCCTGTCGCCTAAAAGATGATGACCAATATTATACTAGATCGCCAGCCACAAAATTAGATTCAGAAGAGGAAGGAGTATGCCAGTCTTCATTCATAAAACAGGTGCTCGAAAAAAGATGGGAAGAAGCTCAGAATGAGCATATCTAATGCCGATGTCAAAGCAGCCTATAATTTCTTAAAAGTGGAAGATCATAACTGAGCTAGGAGTTTTCGTGAAATATGTGAGATTCACAAAGGCCTTATGTAAATATAGTAAATCTCGACTTCTTACACAAGAAGAAGTATTTGAAATCTTCAAAGTTCGAACTGGTTGGCGGCATGAAGACGGATTCTTGTCCATGTTCCTTTACTTAGCATCAGAGGCGGATCTACGGAGGGGGGGGGAGGGGACTCTTTCGGAATGAAGCCCCCCTAAAATGGTAAAATATAACCATGTTTTCTGGAACAAAAATATTTAAAAAATATATTTTAAAGTATTATTGTTCGTGTAATTACATTTAACAGGTCTTTAAGAATCACTTAAACACCATTTCATATATGTAGTTAGTTTCTTTCATTTTTCCAAAGTAATTATCATTATTTAATGAAACAAAAAAAGCTTTTGGGCTGAAGCCCTCCCAAAATTAAATCCTGAATCCGCTAGTGCCTAGCACTGGAAGAGATGATAACGTTACATGAAAATGAAGAGGAGCACACAAGAATCAATCATAACATTCTATTGGGTTGTCCGGAAAATAATGCAGAATTTTGAGTTTTCTTTAAAACACCCCTAAATACAACAAACTGTTTACGTTTACTAGATTATTCATTTAAATGAATGTCAACACTTATTAATCCTATTTCAAGTGATAATGTTTCTTTACCTCTGTAGAACTTACAGAAAAATTTAAACTTAGCCAATCGACCGCCGATGACCACCTCAAGGCAATTGGAAAGGTAAAAAAAGCTTGAAAGTTCCACTCACTTTAAACGACCGCCAAAAAGATCAGCTTTATGAACTTTGTGCAACACTTCTTTGCCGAAACAAAAACGATCCTTTGCTGCCCACAATTGTTAATTGTGATGAAAAGTGGATACTTTACGATAACAGTAGACGATCTGGACAGTGGATCGACAAAGGAGAAGCAGCGCAACATTTTCCAAACCCCCAACTCTTCAAAAAAAAAAAAAAAAAAAAAAGGTGATACCTACTGTTTGGCGGGCTTCATTTGGATTGATACACTACAGCTACTTAAATCCTGGAGAAAACATTAGTGCTGAATCTCGTTGTAATCAAATTAACGCAATACATCAGAGATTGGCAATAATGAAGGGATCGCCAATCGGAAGGGTCCCATTTTGTTGCATGACAACGCCCGGCCAATTGTCTCACGTGAGACATCGCAAAAACTGTTTGGACTTCGATATGAAACTCTGCCACATCTACCCTACTCTACGGACCTCTCGCCTACAGATGATAATTTTTTAGATACCTGGACCACTCCTTACGTGACAAAAAAATTAATGGACAAAGGGAATTAGAAAATGCGTTTTGGAGTTTATCAATTCTAAAGATGGGAAAATCTATTCCAAAGGAATAGAAAAGTTGCCAACATGTTGGCAGAACTGTATCGATAGTAGTGGAGACTATTTTGATTAAATAAAACAGTTGTAAATATTTATTTTTTCTCTTTAAACCAAAATCCTGTATTATTTTTCGGACAACCCAATATAATATACTTACAATATAGCTGTCTTTGGAAGCAATCAAGAAGGGCAGTGAGAGACTTACTAAGATCTGATAAGAGAAGCAGAGTCAATTGGTGTATAAAAAATTGAAAATAGCACAAAACACATAGATAGATAGATAGATAGAAAAAAAAACTTTATTCTGGGACTAAGTCCCTTCAGAATAACAATAATGTACAAAATAATAGAATATTACTGGCCTGAACGTTGAAACAATAAATAAAATTGATAAAATAAAATAAAAAGTAAAGAAAATCTTAGGTGCACAAGCTATATACAAACAGATAAAACTATGCACAGAGCATTTAAAATTATGAACAAAACAATTAAAACTATGAACGAATCACTTGAACTATGAACAAAATTATATTTAAGGGTTGAACAACATAAACATACACTTTGACAGATGAAGAACGAAAAAGAGATACAATGAGTTCATTTCATAAAAAAAAAAAAAACTTTACTTGAATATATATATAAAAATAAACAGTTACTTATAATTGAATAAAAAAAAAAATATATAAAAAAAAAATGTATGTATTGAAATTCCTACGTCGATAGTAGGAAATGCATGTACTATCTATTACCAAGTGTTATGATTATATGATTGCTACACAATACATATATAATATCAATAGTTAGCTGGTATCAGACTGTTTTTGGAACAGGAATTGGAATAGGAGGTTTTTGAATGTATACAGGGAAGGGGCATGTCGAATTTTGATCGGGAGGGAATTCCAAAAGTTGACAGAGCGGGCTATAAAGGAATTTTGGAATGAGGCAGAACTATGAGAAGGGATGTATAGGTCAGAGGGTCGGGATCTTGTAGTGAGAGAATGGATTGAGGACTTAAATTGGAGAAGGTTGTAGGCATAAGAAGGACGATGATCGGTAATGATTTGATAAAGAAAAGTGCCAAGGAAATATTGTCTTCTTAAGGAGGGGAAGAGCCACCCTAACTCAGTGTAGTGGTGGGAGACACGGGAGCGTATACATACTAACCGAAATTCTATTCAAGTGATAAAGTGTAATTTTATTCCCGAAGGTAGACAGAGTCGAATTCCTCGACTCCACAATAGTCTTAATAAATAACCAACGGACAAAAACAGAAAATGGCAAAAAAAATTCACAATTGATGCTATATGAAGTTTCTGAAGCAGGGAAAAAGGCTTCGGTAAAATAGGAAACATTTTCAGGTATGAAAAGCTGGAGTTAACTCTTTAAGCAACTGAGAAATATCTTTTAAATTTGGAAATAATCATGGAAAAAGCAAGGGGAATAAAAATACTCTGGAAAATTTGAACTTCTACATTATATTTAGGTTAGAAAAATGAATTCCAAGGATGGAATGAAGATCACATCCCACAATGGATCTGTTCAATTATTTTAAAAGTCGTGCTATAAATAATAAATAATGAATGTTTCTATTGCCTTACTATTTTTAGAACATTTTAACATTTTAAGAACAACCAGTGGAATATTAGACATTAGGATAATATAGTAAGATATAGGAAAATCACATATATAGGATCACTTACTGCCATGTTGGGAGGCCTCCTGTTCGGTGTCCTAGGCTCGATGATGTGATTGAAAGAGGGTAATCTGGTTGGAGTGTGATAGCGGACCAAGGAATGGACGCCCGTCGGGGAGGTGCACTTCTGTGGTGTCCTCAGGATGCTCTGTCGACATTTCTCAACGTCTGCTATCATAGGCGCCAAAATCACCGAATCTGCCTTGGAGGGAGTCGTTCGCATCTCTGAATGCCTAAAGTTTTGGAACAGAAAAAATATCTTCATATTGACGGTATTCTATAATGATTATGTTCTGTCTAAATGTATTTACTATAAAAGTACTTATGACACCATTTTTAAAAAAATAATTTAAGAATTAAAAATACACTATATATGATTGATGTTGATGAACACTGTACCTGTAGATCCCAGAAGATCCGAGAGGCGATTGTCTGTAGCCGAGTCTGTCTTCTGGACTGTCCACATACTCTTCATTTGCGGCTTCCAGTTCTTCGTAATGCCGGTAAAGTATGTCATCGTGAAAAGCTAGTGATCTTCGTGGTCCAGTTCTCTCGTAGCTGAAAGTTAAATATGTTGATATAAGGGTGGTATATTCAGTGCCAGAACATGGATTTATTTTTTCCAGAATGATAATATAACTTTGCCCTCCTCTACTCCTCTCCTATTCAAAGTAAACAATTTATCGCGATATTTTAGATGATATATGTTTTGCAAAATAATTCCTCAAAATTCTGCTGTCTGGGAGAAGTTATCTTGAACCGGGTCAGGGTAATTATACATTTTTTATCAGGGAGATAAAAACAATTTCAATACATAGGTAAAAGTAATTTGTTAATCTAATAATATGAAGAATTGATTTTCTTGATTCGATTGAGCAAGACATCAAATTTATGATAAGAAAAGAATTAAAGTAAATATTAAGGAAAAACACTGTTATACATTGCTTCTAAATTGTATGTATTGTGTATACATCGATTGTTTAATCTGTTAAAATATTTAATTAATAATTATAAGCCTTGGCAGAATGGAAGGTTTGATGCTGATGCCTTAAACATTTGTTGCCTACATGTTACTCCCCAATGAATCCTTTCAAAAATCAAATTTAAGATGTAAAAGCTAACATAATCCTCCCATTCAAGTTTTGTGAAAGTAATTCACTAACTACGATCAGCACAACTACAAAGGGTAGTCATTTCAATGTTCGCAATCTCATTACTTCAATACAGGAGGAGGTTTGATGGAGCAACCTGCGCCATCATGATTTTTGAGCGGGGAATATTTTGGCAAACTTTTGAATATTTGAGGGGGGCACATTTTAGAGAGGTCATGAATTTTCTGAATGAAAAGTTTCTTACAAAGAGACAAGAGGCAACATGGAACAGACCGCAGTAAGTGTAATTGTATATGATCTAAGATTTTTCTAATTCTAATTTTTTTTTTTTTTCCTTCCCCCCAGGAATTTCTTGATTACAAAATACAATATATATAAATGTTATATATACATAAATTTTCAATTTCCTTTTATTGCCCAAGGGCATTTTAAGGTAAGAGGGCTATGCACGGTGTATGCGTACTTTCTAATTTTACCTTCGTTCGCTCTGTTTTTAAGAAAAATGTGCAATAAAGTATCTTGGGAGCGGGGATTATGTTCTTGCGCCATCGACTTGGGAAGGATGGGCACCCCTACTTCAATCATATACTCGTATTTCCTGGACACATGCACTACAGTTTCAATGCGGATTGATTAGCCTTTTCAATTTTACCGTGGTCTTATTTTTATGTATAAATTTTTGTTTTCGAAGACCATAAATCGTTGCTCTACTCTTAACGTGAGATGGCATATTTCTCGAACGTAAGGTATATATTCTTGCAAATTAGAATTATCATCTTACCAGACAGTTGATGCAAACTGAACTGGTTTGGGAGTGAAAATTAACAAAATTTTCCGTCTTTGACCTTACATATATTTCTTCTACATTTTTTTCTGTTTTGCATTTTTTTTTTTAGAAAATTTATGCAGCAGTAATTTAAAACGCTCTATGTATTCTTAGTTTTAAATATATGTCCACAATTAGAGAGCAATTATATTACTCTCTATAGATTTTATTTATATTTATTTAAATAGATTATTTTTACTGTCTTTCACCTACGTGCTTTGTTTAATGTGGTAACTCCTGTATGTTTAACTTACTACATACCATCAGCGTTTTCAAGCACGGGTAATTAACCGCACAAAGTTAAACCTTGATTAGGACAAATTACTATATTAATGATGTTAGTTGTGCTAAATTAAATAAAATTGGGAAAAATAATCGTTTTTTTCTAAACCAAAACAGACCTAGAAACCTTCAATTAAAGAAAAATTACTGTTTTCAATCTGTAATATGTTTAGGTTGTAATACGTTAGGCTGTTTAGGTTTAATAATTTAACTCATTAGATTCACTCATTAGTTCCTGATGGTTAGGCAGTGGATTCAACCCCTTACTGTGAATAACTAGCAGAGTTTATTCAATTTTGAGTGCAAAGTACCCCGCTTCGGTTGACAGCAACCAAGCCATTGTGCAACATGACAATTCCCAAGCACATTGTACACATTTGACGAAGGAAAAATTATCATTTTATTAATTATTATTGGAAAAATTATTACAAGCATTAATCGTTTTGCCTCATCCTGCGTATAGCCCAGATATCGCAGCATTATATTATGGTTTGTTTAGATCAACAACTCATTTTTTAAAAGTCAGTTCTTTGATAATTACTAGGACAAATAATTTGGATGAGAAGAGCTCTTTCAAGAGCTGCTTCAAAACCAGAAGACTGGTAACGGCATCAAATCCAATTACTGACAGAAAGAAGTTGAAAACAATGGACTTTACCATAGGCGAACACTTCGGGGGGGAGGGAGGGGAATGGGCGATCGCCGTGAAGAGTAGATGTATTAAAATTCAGTAATGTTTAAAATATGTAATATGAAATAAAGCTATACTTATGCACAAGGACGTTTGTAACAATATGAATATTATTACATATTATGTATGAATATTCACACATAAAACATTTATTTTTCCTTTATACTTATACATATACAAATTGAATAGCTATTGCAGTACGTGTGTTGTAACAAATAGAAATTCTTTCTACCATTATTGTTTCCTATTAAATTACAATTTTATATTTATCTTAACATATGTGTAAAAATTAATACACCACGTTATTGAGAGAAATAAAAAAAACGTTTTCCTTGTTAATAATTACAACCGAAAAATCCTTAAATAACTCCATTTTTTTCGTTTGTTAACTTTTTAATTGTATTGAAATTCAAATTACTACAATAAAGTGTATTAATAAAAATATAAAATAAAGGAAAATAACCAATTTCAAGTTTAATCATTTTCCATATTATATTGTTCTTTATCTTCTTAGATTGTTTTAAATGATACAAATAATTACAACTGCTATTCAAATAGAGTAATATTAATCAATTATACATTAAATGTTTATAAACTGTTTAAATTAACAAAAAAATCACTTGAAGGATTGGTTGGTATTGGCAAAATTTAAAAATTAAACTACAAAACTGAATAAATTTAACGCTCACTGATCACAAATACTAAGCACTGGGGAGGGGGGAGAGTTGAAGCTGTTTTTAATCAACGGAAGGGAAGGAAGAATGGCAAAAAAAAAAAGTAATGAATATTGGCAAACTTCTTAAATGTAATTTATGTCTTCTAATTGATTTTATTATTCAATTTTACTTTTAGTTATTGCTATCGATTATAATATATTTATTACAAAAAAAAAAGTACTGAATTGTTTAAAAAGATAAATCGAAAATTAATTGTAGAGAAAGTTGATAGAATTCCAAACATGTTCACCCATTAAAGGAGAAGAATCTTTAAAATTTAAACAATTTCTGATACTACGAAATTGTTTCATGAAATTTTAATTATGTATGTTGTTCACTGACTATGAAGGATAAATTTATTTTGCAAAAGCTTGGTTAGATATTACATGCTGATTGAAATCACAAATTGGAATATTGAAATCAGACCAAGATACCGTAGCGAAGCCAAGCCGTTAGCAGTTATACTACCTACACCTAATTACGATAAATAATTCCTTCCCCTCTTCCCCATCGACTGAAAGAAAATTTATCCTGAAAACACTAAATTTAACTGCTATTCTCCTTAAATAAATAATTTGATGCACTGATAAAATCACAAAAATGATAATAATAACATACAGGTCAGATAAATTAAAAGTTTTTTTTTCTCTAGCAACGTTTTTAAAACATACCAGTTTTTGAATAATTAATCATTATTCAGACCCTCACCATGTCTTACTTTAAAATATATTCAAATAACGTTTTATGGCCTTTAGTGGTATCGAATTAAACATACAGATATGACAGTATGGTAAACAGGTATGAGTAAAAAAGATAAATAAAACTTCATAAATGTTTACAATGTTTATACTTGAAAAAAATAATTATATTAATGATGATTTGAAATTAACGGGACTGTTCTAGTAACGGGACAGTCAATAATATCATAATTAGATATCAATAATAATTATTTGTTTTATTTTTTGAGGCATCACTGCGGGGAAGGGTTAAACTCTAGGGGAAGGGTTTGATTCCACAGATTCTATTCAAGTATTTTGGAGGGAGAAAGGGCCGTAGAGAGATACCAAGGGCCCCTAGGATAATTTTTCCGAGTCTTCTAAAATATTAAATTTATCACTAAAACTCAACGAGAACCTTTTATAATGTATGCAACGAAAATACCACATAAAGATATTACATAATTATGTAATATATGTATTGTTAATTACACTTTATTTTAATGTGAATTTAGAAGTTAACAAATAAAACTTTGTAGGCCAGGTGTTACGACTCCCCTCTCGTAGGGCTAAGGAACAATTGGAAGGAAAATGTTCCAAAACATGTTCAGAGTCGCTGGTTTAGCATAAAGTTATCAAGTTATCCATACTCAAAGCAATACAGCATACAGCTTAGAAATAAATTAAAGGGAAAATAAAAGCTGTTCCACTAATGTAGTAAAATATAAAGACATAGCTCGCATTGTAATAATTTACATGTTTTAGATTTTAAACGGCCAAACTGTTCTGAAACAAAAAACTTAAGAACTCCTAGCTTAAGAACACAGAATTATATTAAAGAATGGTTAACGATTATAATTGTGTTTGTTACAAAACTACAGTAATGTTGCATTTACAAGGTCAACTATAATTTTTTTTCGGTTTAAAATGATTGAGTTTGATCAATTTCTTTTTATAAAAAAAAGGTTTGGAAGTGAGATTCTACATTTCAAATTTATCCGAAACGTCGAATAAATTCTTCTTAGTTTTTGTTTTAATGATCGATTAAGTAAAATAAGGTTTCCTACCTTAACCTGTAATTCTGCGGCGATGGTTCCCCATTGTCGCCGAGGAAAGACTGGTTGCAATGATAGTGCACTGTCCGTGGTCGCGGCATCGCACACTGACTGAACGAGGGTAACAACGCCCCTCCACTTCTGTATGTCTGTATGTCAAGGGAAGGAACGGGAGGGGGGGATGTATCCTACTATTGTGTTTGCTGCCATTCATCACTAACAGGGGACTTTAATTCCGTATTTCCATTTTAGTATTGTTGTTAGTTAAAAATCTGAAAGTAATATGTTAATACATTTTTATGATTACTCATTTATTTTTTAAATATTTTTTTATATTAAATTCTCACTTTTCTGCATATTTCCATTTTAAGGAGGAATATATTGTCATAAATATTATCTATGCCAACTTCCAAGATTTCTAATTGACTATTAGGTGATGGCGCTCAGCTTTTTTTTTAACATAAAATTAAATTTTCAAATAACTTTTTCCATCGTCGATATGGTCCAGAAGAGATAAGGAATTTTACTTTTTTTACATAATCGTACAATTTGGTTCCTTTCGGTTATGAAATACTTTACTCTTAGTATTTTTAGCCAATTATGGAATTTGCAGTTTTAGCTCTTATTAAGGACGTTATTTTGACAACCTTTCGCTGTACTCCATTCTAAAGTCGTTTATCTGCCAACTTTTTAGTCATTGAAAGCAATGAAGTACCGTAAAAGAGAGCGGGGTGTATCATCTTTCTATTGATTATAGTCTTTAAACGTATCGATAGGATTCAGTAGATAAATGATTTTGTTCTCTAGATTTACTTACTTACTTTACTTTACTAATAAATACCTAAATTAAAAATACATATATTTATATTTAATTATATAAGAGCGTTATTGAGAAAAAAATATCTTAAATTTGATAAATATCTGGTTTTGAATAGAAACTTTATTTATTATTAAATTATTGAAATATTTTTTCGGAAATAATTTTGTTTGGAATTCATTATGCTTCTTGTTATTTTTTATTGAGTGAATTCATCTCGATATATATATTATATCGGTTGATTATACTTACAATTATTCTTGATGTATGCTACTGGCATATTAATAATCTGATATTTAACGTAATGTATTGTACTTTATACCAGGACGAATCTACGGGGAAAGGAAGCTGAACCCTCCCCCTCCCAAAAATAGTGAAATATATCCATGTATTACGAAAAAAATTATCTCTAAAAAGTATCATTGTTCGTTAATTAAATTTAATAGGACTTCAAGAATCACTTAAACGCCATTTATTATAGGTAGTTAGTTTCTTTCTTTTTCTTCCAAAGTAATTATCGTTATATATAGAGGGAAAAAAAGCTTTCAGGCTAAAGCCCCCACTCTCCCCCAAAATTAATTCCTGAACTTAACTATTGGTTTCTGGATAGTAACATGCAGGAATCTCAGCTTCTGTAATGCATAATCTACTCGATTGAAGGTAAGAAAAACTTGGCTTTATATGACTACAACTGTCCTGTCCACCCTACACTGATATTTTGTGTAAAATGAAGGCAATATGAAATTATACGCTAGTAAGTTAGGAGTGAAATTAAAAATATTTTAAAATTTAAAATAAAAAATAAATAATTTAAAATTAGAGATATCTGAATTCGAAAAGTATATATTATATTTTATAATTAAATAAGTGCCAGAATAATAAGTATAAACATTTTTCGGGATGTTTCGTAATTAAATGATTTTGTAATCCCTGAATGTAAAAATACAAATTCATTTTTGTATTAAACAATTTTCGAGCTCCTTATTGACTCAAAGTATTGAAACAATTTTATGGAAATTGGTTTATTAGTAGAAATAACTTGAAATTAGAGAAAAATAAAAGTTTTTAGCAGAAAAAAAGGTCTGTATTTACAAAAAAAAAAAACAAAAAAAAATAAATAAACTATTTGGCTCGTGCGAAAAATTCGCAGAAAATTTTGTTTAGTGAAGAAATGGTATAACAATATAGAAATAAGTAGATCTTATATAGTATGTAAGGAAGGAATTAATATTTTTTTCTTAGTCGATTACAATATTCCATTAAAAATAATAGACCAAAATATTTACACAAATTGCTTTGCTAGGACCTATTTTTAAAAACTGACTGGAAAGATAATAAAGACAAAATAATGTATCATAGGATATTGTAAATTATAGAAACAAATAAAATGTAAGAACAACCAAATGTCTTTAAGAAATAATAAAGTTAATATAAAAGCTAGGGAAAAAAATGTAGTAGACTATTCTACCCCTAAATGCAATATCTTTAAAGAAGAAGATATTATTAAGTATACCAAAACTAATAGACTGTATCTTTGTTAATAATCGTCCGAATTTTACGAATTTTTGTCTGTTTTGTAGGTAATTCAGAAATATTTTTGAGTACTAAGTAATTTAAGTACTTTTTGAGTTATTCGCAAATTCTTTACCTTCATAACTTTTTTTAGAGATTTCGAGGGGATAGGACTATTTTTCGCATGTGAAGGAGAAGAATATCTTCAAAATGAGTGGTCAATCATTGGATTTGATGAAGAATTGACGAAGTTATGGCGTACCGACAAAAAAACACCTTTTAGAAATAATATATAGGATATTAAAATTTTTTTTTTATTTTTATTTCTTAAAGACATTTACAACTGTATTAAATAAATACATCTAGCAAAATTAGAACATAATGTATATAATAACATGAAAAACACTTGCTGAGTAACTACCCAATGGTAGCACTCTAATGATATGTTTACATTAGGAGATCACGGGGCCATCTTCTCTTCAGACGCCTCGGAGGGTTATCAGGAATTGAAGAGGAAGCAAGGTTCGAAACGAGAGGGTTGGGATGATTCTGAAGTTTATTATGGAAGGATAGGTATCTGGATTGGGCCAGATCTGAAACAAAAGGAACATTAAGGTCATTATGGATGGTTTTATTTGTAACAAAGTAGGGAGCATTGAGGATTTTACGAAAGATTTTGGTTTGTAAGGATTGGATACGAGAGGAAATCGATGGTTTAGTGGAGCCCCATAGCTCAACTCCGTAAGTCCAAATAGGCCTTATTATAGTCAAGTATATGAGTCTTTTGTAATTAATTGGAAGATTAGAGCGTTTGTCTAGTAAGTGCTGAAGTAATCGGAAACATCGAGCGGTTTCTTGTCGTTTCATTCTAGTATGAGGATTCCAAGTTAGTCGTTTGTCCAGGTGGAGTCCTAGGTATCGGATTTACTCAACAGGGATATGTGGAGTATTGTTAAAGGAAACTGTAGGACAAGAAGTTGTTGGTTTACGACGAAGGGTAAAGGTAATTTGGTGGGATTTATTGGAGTTTATTTTAATTCTCCAGTTATTAAAAAATGAAAATATTAAATATTAATGTTCAAAATTTTTGGCTCAAAAATTGGTCTAGTGGCGGTTTATTTATCAAATTTTCATTTTTGAATGGTATTAGAATAGCGGATAGAAGCCGGCCTTAAACCAACAGAGCGATCATCCACCGCTTCCTTATCTCGATCAAACATTCGCCATCCTTATCGACTGCTCGGCGGTACCTCGATAGCACGGCGTACACCTCCGACAACAGCGCCTTAACGACTTTTAACGGCCGGGATCAGCTGTTGGCCAGGTGCCGCGGGCACGTGCCCCCTGACTGGAGGGCACAATGGCTAGGGGGAGGGGAAGGGGGCTTTTAAATGGCCCAACGTATCTATTGAGGGCCGTTCACGATTGTGTATCTTTTATTATTGCAATTATTTCTCAAAATAACATGCTGTCCTCTAATTATGCGTCAGATTCGTGTGCAGTACAAAATCATAAGCATATAAGGATTGAAGCTTTTATTTATTATCAAGATAATTTACCTTTACATAGTAATTTTTTTTGGGGCATTTTAGCCAAGATGCCAATAGATACAAATGACGTGCTTAACAGTTTATGTTATTTGATATAATTAGCCTATATAAGGCGAAAATAATTTCTGGTCGATAAGAGAGTGCAAGGATAGCATAGCCGCCTATTGGAAATTAAATTATTAGAGGAGGGGCGAAGGGTGAAGGAGGGCAAACTATAGGACCATGGGGTGGAGAGTATGGGAGGATGGCGATATTATTTGGCTTATATCCTATATGACCATATGCAATATATAATATATGCCTATATGAAAAATTACCATCTCGGGCAAGTATTGCGCTGTTTAAGCTAGGCTTAATGAAGAAGAAGAAGAAGAAGAAGGAAAAAAAAAAATGTTATAATTGCAGTAGTGTGTTGTTATGTAATGCTTAACATCACACTACTGCATACACCCATATGGCCATAGTGGCATGGGAGACAAATAAAAAAAAAGTTTTCTTTTACAGTTTAGTTAAGTTTATGCATCTAAAATAGCGCATCGTTAAATAAATTCCACTATACCTACTAGTAGATAGGTAATGTACATGAAGTTCATACTATAGCAATTTGTTGGAGGAGGAGCTGAGTGACAGTATTGGAGAGCTCAAGCCCTACAAGGAGAGTAGGAATTGTTGTAGGGAGGTGATATTGTTTTTGATGAGGGAATGGTAGAAGGAATCACGGTCTGTTGATGTATTTAAACAGGAAAGAACATGGTTGCCATCGGCGATTGAGGAATGGTCGCTGAAGCAGTAAGGAGAGTTCTAAGATGTTTAATTTAAAGATATGAGGTGGTAGGTTATGGTGGTTGAGGCGAATCTAATATGAAAGTTAGGAATTTTCTGGAAGCTTCGTAGGATCGGAACCAAGAAAATCGTGGGATTTGAAGTTGGATAGTTAACTAACGCCCTTTCATGCTGATAGCACGAGCGAATCTACGGGAGGGAGGCTTTCGGGCTGAAGCCTCCCCCCCAAATGGTAAAATATAACCATGTTAGATGGAAATTTTTTTTTTTAAAATACCTCTTAAAGTATTATTGTTCATGTAATTACATTTAAAAGGACTTAAGGAATCACTTAAACACCATATCATATAGGTAGTTAAGTTTCTTTCTGTTTTTCTAAAGTAATTATCGTTATATCTATGAAAAAAAAGCTTTCGGGCTGAAGCCCCTCCCCCAAAAA